GTAACCATGAGAAAAAGAGGGAAGTGAAAGCTGGTGCTGACACTAAGGGTAATAGTTCTCAGGCGGTTTCTTGTCGAGGCCGCAATAAAACAAGATCGGGACCAACAAAGGTCAAAAGGAAAGCTCCACCTCCACCGCTGCCTCTCTCTGAGAGGCCTTCCGTTTCTCATACCAGTCCATCCCAATCTGGTCTACCTCGTCCTATTTCAGCCCGTCCCTCTCCTCCGATACCTCCACCGCGTCAACCACGAACTCGTAAGGTGGCTCCACCTCGCCCCCCTCCACCGAATATGAAGCAGCCCGGTAAAAAGAGTGATAGGACAAGAGTTAAGAAGAAGGAAAACGAGATATGCCACTATCCAAGGGATCTAAACCCGTTTGCAAATTCCGACGGTACCACCGATAAGGAATGCTCGTCCCAGAACAGCGAGAAGGCCTCCAGCGCTCGTCGCCAAAGGCATAAAAGAAGACAGAAGAACTCTAAAAGTGGAGAATATTCGATGGAAAACAATCCATTTAATGATACTGATGAAATGAGCGAGACGCCCTCCAGTACTCGCCGTCAAAGGCGTAGAAGAAAACGGAAAGAATCCAAAAATGAAGAATACAAAATGGGAGACATCTCATCCAGTGATGCTGATGACATGCGCATTACGCAAAGGCGTAGAACAAAACGGAAAGAATCTAATGGTGAAAAATACAAGATGGAACACAGTCCATGCAATGATACCGATGAGGAAAATGGTTCGTCAATTTTGGAGTCGACCGATACTTCTGACATGTGGTCTGTTTCTTCATTGGAAGATATTCAGTTTTTGGTGAACACAGCTGCAGTAGAAGAGGTAAATGTAAAGACTGCATTACAAGGCTTGGCTGCCAGCGATGAAAAAGACGAACAGGTTGACCGTGAAGATTCAGGTGACTCAAAGGCCCAGTCATTCCCATCTGATAAGGAGGTCTCTCCTGACGATGTCCCTTCCACAAACAAGGATAATGTTCCTGCAAGTATGGGATCAACAAACCTTGATGCTTCGACTGCTAAAGATTGTTCAAATGTGGGCCAGAGATTAATTACCAATGAAGTACAACCTTCCGAGGAAGTAATTGCTATGGAAAAGTGCCAGGGTGGAGACAGCTGTGGTAAGTTGTTCTGTAAGCATACCACAGAATAGATCCTAATGAGCGGAAAGTATTGTAAAACAGTGCATCTTTATCCACCGAACCGGAGAAAAGAATCATTAAAAACATTCCCATCCGCGCGCAAGTAAACCTTCATTCCCGACTGTTGCTAGTACTTTGATTGCTCTTAACCAAATAGATTTAATTGGTTCAATATCAACTTTATCAGAATGTGTATATATTCGCCTGCTCTTTTCATCTTTTAAGCACATGTATTTTCTGAAATCTTCTTTAGCTTCCATTGTAAGCAGTCAGTTCCCAGAGTTGGCCATTTATGTGGAGACAGAGATTAAGGTTGTCGAACACGAGTTGCTTTCATTACACAAGGTGATGGTTAAATTGGAATTACAGATGAAAGAAGCAATAGACACTGAAGGTTAGTTTTCTACTTTTTACCTTTGCATGAGTCAATATATAAAACCTAACATACTTGCTTCAAACGTGCATAACAGTGATTTTCGAGAGCCACTATCCTGAATCCCTAGCTTCGAACCTTTCCAGCTGTCCACTTTCGTCAAATAGCAGCCGAACTATCCTGCTAGTTGACAGGAATCTTTCGGGATTCGAAGTGCTTATTTTCCCTCACGCAACGCTAAAGGAAAACAGTTTCTTTCCTAGGAAGAGGTAAAGTCTGGAAACAATTATTTGGGTATACCGTCGCGCCAAATAGAGGGTGATGCACGTGTAACTAACTAAACACAAATTAAATGCAGCCTTCTTTAATTTACCCCTTTTAGATTGTGAGGCCGAGTTTGAAAGCTTATCACTTGACTGGTTAGCGCTAAATGAGTTTCGTTCTGAACTTGACGAAAGGAAACAAGACCTTCTTACTCTGTAAGTACATCTTATCCTTATAAAGCTGTTTTAAACCTTGCCGGATAGTTGGGAACAAGTCAATATGCCTAATTAATACATACATATTCAATAACCAAAGCGCATGATTTAAATTAAGTGTATATAAGCACTCCTTTTTTTCATTAAGTATTTTGATTCCTTGCATTGTATTTCCATTTGAAAGTTTATCCTATTAAAGCCTTATCTTTCGTCTCCGTTGTTTTTAGTTCCAGACAAGAAAACCGGAAGGAGTGTTTGAAATTCTTACGTCAGGACCTTAAATGCCTGTTTGAAGTCAAAGGTGGGAATCAGTTTCTAAGTTATTTCCTCAGTGTGATAGTACTAAATTTTCTTTTTTATGATGTTAAACATGTGGTCTGTTACCCACGCCTGGGTTTTTTATGCAATCTTTTATTTTTTTGCCATCGTATGGTGAGTGATCTTTTATTACGTTTTCTGCTGCAGGTTGGAAGAAAACCGAAGAACACAAAGATCAGGAAAAGAATGTCCTGGATCTTATCCTCAACTTGACCAACATGGCCTGAATAACAAACGGCATTAAAAGTAAGAAACTTGCAATTTAATTCAGTTGAAATGCTTTTGGTTCTCTTCTTGTAATCTTACTTTCCATTCTATAATAATATAGTTTGCCACGGATCATTTGGATTATGTTGATTTAAGAGACTTTATTATGAATACAAATGGCTAATCCTGCTTTTCGCTTTCCTTTCCTTCTGCAGTTTCGATTTCACAACTATTTCCTTATTTCTGGTCTGACTTGTATAATAACATGTTTTTATTACAACAAGAGATTACAATCTCTTGTTAAAAATTCTTTGTAAATCTATAAATTTTGGGCAGCTTCATTTTTTCAGTGTAAAGTCCTTTCTCCAAGAGAATCATTCAGATATTATCCTTGAATCATGAGATTACTTTATTTGTCATACAATTTTCATGTACATAACTGCTATGAATTCAAATAATTTTTATTGTTGTAAAATTTTCATTTTTTAACATAAGTAACTATCTTTATCTTTTCTCGTCTTTTTTTAATTGCTCGGAACTGTTTTATGATTATAAATACCTATTTTGTGAATGTAATATCTTAAGTTCAGGGTCACGGACAAAAAATTAGAACTGATAAGGTTTCTTTTCATTACGACCCTGTTATCTTTTATTTTGATTACGTTTTATTTCTAAGGTGAAGGTAGATAGATCTAAGGTAAAGTCATAGTTTACGTATTTCAATTCAATGGCTTTATTTTCATCCAATCAGATGCGCTGATATAGAATCATTTGTAATGAGAGTGACGTAAGCGGCCACAAAATCACTGCACGTAACTGAATACTTCGCCTCTGGCACTGCATCCTTTTTTTCCTGTCTGCTCTTCTCTTTCTTTTTCTGTTTTCTTTTCTCGCTTTTTTATTCGATTTTTGGTGGGTAGCTTACTTGTAGGTAATTCGTATTTTTAATTTAAACTTAGGGTTTTTTAGGTATTTTGTAATTCCTTTTTTTTTGCTTTTTTTTCTCCTTTACTAGTTTGGGTTGTTTTTGTTTCCTTTTTTGTTTCCTTTTTTCTTCTTAAAATTGCCTTTTTCCACAACCTGTATTAACAGCGATTCAAACGCTGTGGGTTATGTTGGGTGGTTTTCTGGCTGCATGCGTCACTTTTCTTTGCAATCAATTCATATCAGTGCTGATGATTAACCGAATGCAAAGACGTGGAGACTGGGACTCATCAAGTAGAACATCACGCCATTACTTCACCAGGGAAAGGAATAACGTAATCGCCTCAGTTTTCTTCAGTCAAATTTCCATCATCATCATTATTAAAAATTGTGAACTCGTAGAGTTGCCCATTTGTTGGTGTGATTTTTCGCGCTATTTCCTTTATCTTACTTTGATTTGTTATAACAATAATTGTGAATAAATTTTAATAAAAAAGAAACAAGATTTTGCATAAATATATTTTAAAGTCCATCTTCGTACCCTTTTGCTCTCGATTTGCAGATAATGGGCGATTTACATGTTTCATTATTCCCATTAGTCACCATTCTCTCACCTCGGTTTGGATTGTTACTCTCAGGTGCATTTCAGATTTGAACGATAAATGACCTTGTTTACGGTTTTGATGAAAATTTTAGCCATTTTTTCCAGTTGTGACCGATTTATAAGATCAACTGGTCTCAGTTCGAGAAGAACTCAGCTGAGACGGTGGGCGATTATTGACGAAACCAAACTGTTGAACTGGCAAAGAAGTAAACGAAAAGAAGCACCCATTAGGCAACGAAACATACCAGACACTCCATGAAACCACAAGCTTCGGAAGGGGAAGGGGTTACCATGCCACCGATTTGGGATACATTAAAAAACCAGGGAGTTTGATGGTGCAGAATGCAGAAATAATTATTTAACATAGAAACTGTTCAATTACCCAGGAACTCGCCTAATATACAAAGTAGTGACTTTAGTCAACCGGGAGGAAAGTTTTTTTGACCTCTGTCGTTTTCTCAAAACTTTAATTTTGACTTTTTAAACCCGCCAACTTGCCAATGATTTGAGACGATCCCCATTATTATCAGCAGTATTATTATCATTATTTTTTACCTTCGATGAATTATAGTGATTTCTGATCGCAAATTTCTTCACTTAATACAAAGCAAGCGCTATTTTCATTCAGCCATTAAACAAGGGCGTCACTTAAGTAAATCCAAATTACTGTTGCATTTATGTTTTCGTTCAGTGCTATATTGATACAATACCATTAAAGGATTATTTTTTAATAACAACAGAGCACTCAAAACCCAGCGAATTTAAAATAATTCATACTAAGAGACCACGCCCTTTTTCAGATTTCTTATTAACAAATGTTTTTTCTTAAGAAGGTACTTGCAAAAATGTTAAGAGCTAGTGGAGTTGACTCTAAAACGTCTTATACTGAATTTTGCCTTCATGTTCATGTCTCTTATCTGGTGTAGAAGACACAGTTGCCGTAAAATAATTAGGAACAAAAAGACAAAAGAACGGGGAAAGCAATGAAAACGATTTAATAATAAAGCGGTGTTCTACTGTCCTGTGTCTCCAACACTAAGGAGCCTATATGTTTCAGCTAAACATCCACACGAATTGTAATAAATTATAAAGGAGTCTAATAGTTTTATTGAAAATATTGATTTACAAACGTAGAATTTGAAAATATTCCTATTAGATTACATGCTAACTGAATTTTTAAACCTATTCCAGATGGTTTTCTTTTAACACCAAAGGTAGTGTTTCAGTCGTTTTCTCAACTGATACGACTAACGACGCATTTATCTTAGTGTTACCGTTAATAATTCATCAATACTTTTCCGTTCCAGTACAAAGTTGAAAGGTGTCACTGGACAGAATATGTCCTAGCTTACAGTGAGGAATATCCAGCATTAGTATCTACAAAACAGTGGATAGCGTTGAAGGGGTTCTCTGATTGGCTACTCAACTCCGAATACCCTTTGCTATTCAGCTCCAAGCAACTAGCACGGGATTTATAATCATTACAGGAATAAATGAGTTAAAATAATCCTTTTTGTGCTATATTATCCCACTGTTTTAGTAAATACTAACAGAACTATCACCTCACTTTCTGTTGCTAGCGGATTTACCACTTATATCTCCACTTGGTGAATAGTTGGTAATTATAATCCATCAAAGATTTTTGCTCGCCCGCATTGGTCTAAACGCGGTGGTATTCCCCAGTTTTTAACGCTTACGTCTTATAGGATAAAAGTCTACGTTTATACCTTATTCATGATTGGGGGGGCGATCTTTGGTATTTTCAAAAGAAGGAATAACTATATTTGTTTGTTCAAAGGATTCAAATAATACGAATGATATTGGTAAAAACTAATATTGATAAAATGATATAAAATAGTACGGCCCATTTACGAGAGAATTGTTTTCAAATACATTGTTTTGAGTGAAATGTTGAATGCTAAACACCTGTGTCACTTAAACAATACCTTAGTATTAACCTAGTACAGATTGACGGAATTTTACACGATAAATGCGGTTTGTTGTAAAACCGTGTACACTTGCATATTTACATTGAAAAACTACTTCATCCGATCAGTTTTGATATTCTCATTGATCTTTGTTTTGGTCGTTAGTTATCATTTTTTTTGTGTGTGTATTGCGTAGACCAAAGAATCTGCTTCACTCATTTGGTATTCAATGGCGTACGACGCGAGCCACAAAAAAAATGTTTCCAGCACATCATGATGAAGTTAATATGTATTGGGGAAGATTACAAGAAAAATACACTTAAACTACGAACTTAATTTAAATGAAAGTTTTTTACGAAGTCCTGTCGCACAAAGAACAATATTTCGGAACAGGAACAGTTTAAAAGAAAAGAAAAGCCTAGGAAAAATAGTAAACCACGGGAAAAAAATCATTCTCTCATCTTTTTTGTCATGAAGAAAATTTACCACTGAACCTCAATTTCATGTACTCGACCCGGCTTTCCTAGCTTCCGTCAAGACATATCCGTTGCTAATCAATTACGTCCATCATGTGTTCATAAGAGCGTCAGAGACATAAACCAACTGCGGGCTAATCTGAATCTCGGAGACAAACTACCGTACGTACGTGCCTTGGTTAAAGGCATTTTCAGGAGAACCTCACGTCACGTCTTCTAGAAGAACTGTGTAGCATCTGTCACAAACTCGTCGAGGGATGCGATCTCCTGGCAGATTGAGAACAGAAGTTCGTTTTGAAGTGCATGAAGCGCAAAAAATGCCTCCACACTTGCGGCAGTGATGCTGTAGATTAATAAAAAATAAGAAAACACCCATAAGAAACCACACAAAAATGTCTTGGTCGAACCTATTTTGCTTGCCCAATATGTTCCGTCCTACTTGCGACAGCTACAAAGTTTTCTTTCTTTTATTTTTCTTTCCTCTTCTGGAGAGACTGGTAAAATTTCAAGACAAAACCTTCAAACCAACGGGCCTTTCTTTTCTCAAAATCCTATTGCTAAATAAAGTATTGATGTTGTAAGGAGAAGGAATCAGTTGCACAATTGTGTACCTTCCTGTTCACCAATGAAAACTTTGTCTTGCACGCCATGCAGTTCTTAACCAAATCCTCTGAGACCCAAGCCCTAGTGACAAGGCATGCTGTGTGTGTATTACCGCATTCCACATGACGGACTCGCTTGCCATCCATGTCTAGTTCACAAGGCACTGGTCTGTAGGAAATCAAGAATGAACAAATTATTCTAACAAAGTTTGCCAATTATCTTCAGCGGAAGGAAAGAAATAACCCCTGAACTATTTTGTCTGGCAAGATTTTTCTAAGTTTTCCGTATCTGTTCCATTATTTTCTTAAATTCGAAATTAATCTGTTGTTTTATAGGACTGAAATCATCCAACCTAGTTCCCAAGGTCTCTCTTCCTATCGCTTGACCTCATCTCCAAGAAAGTTGAGCGCCACCAAGCCCTCATTTGGGGGAACAACCTGTCGGTTTGGGTATCTTAACATTTAGCCTACATCTGTCCAGTTCATCTTCAAATCATGTTTTATGAGTCTCCTTCAAGTTGAAACGCGGGGTTGCTTTTAATATCTCGAAACAGAATTCCTTTCCACAAATTTAAAAATGTCAGAACAATGTCGGGGAGCATGACTATTTAGTCCTCACCTGTCTCTTGTATCACCGTGACCTAAGCGACCTGCTTTTCCCTTTCCCCACGTAAATATTTCTCCTGATTCTGAAAAAAGAGGATTGTGAAGAACCACACTTGATTAACTGTCTCCAGTGTACACACCGTACTTCAAAGGTTAACATACCCGAATTTTAACATAGATCCCCCCCTCCCCCAGTTTCATCTTCCCCCTAGCCTCCGCACAAAATTTAAGTTTCAACTGTAGCCAGGATGGAGCGCTTCTTGATCGGGTGTCGTAGAATCAAAGCCAAGCTTATCACAAGGAGAGTCAGAACTGGGGACGAGAACACAAAAAGCCAAGAAATGAGGACTTCAAATAAAAAACAGTCAACTGTGTGAAGGGCGAAACAACACCTGTGACTGACGGGATTGGTTTTAGTAACACAGCTGATTGGTTAAGAAGGGTGTTCGAATTTCCAGACCAATAAGGGGTAGTGAATGAAACCCTGGGCAATCTCGGATTACTTTGGAAATTCAACTGAAAAAATTGCTCTGGTAGGATGATCTCGTCTTACTGACCTGTAACAGCGGCTGTATGAGAAGCTCCGCATGAAAGTTGTATTGCTTTGGAAGCTCTGAAGTGAGCGGACAGTTGAATGCGGGTGGGTATATTTACCCTTAAGATTGTCTCTCCGGACTTGTTTCTTTGGTTCATTCCTAGTTGATTTTCTGAGTTATCACCCATTCCAAACAGCTTTCCTTTTTCTAAAACGACAACAACAAAAATAAAACAAAAAAAGGCAAAACGAAACAAAAACAAAAACAACATGTTTAATAAATCTAGCAGGGTTCTATCACAGATGCTGCAAACTGATTGGTTGCTCTACTCGCTATCTATTCCGCGATATCTCGTGAGTATAAAGGTAGAGTGTAGGACACACGCTCCTTACCAAAGAGTTTATACTCGGGGGAAGGGGAACAGGAGGATGGAAGAAGGGGCTCGGGAGAGTGGGGAAAATCGAACATATGAAATTACTCACTTGATAAGAACACTGTGTGCTTGTCTCCACAACTTACATCAATTATCACTTGATTCCTACAGAGAGAAAAAGAGCGGACTTAAAGAAGAAAAGACTTTGAATCTCTTGTAAATTTTCTACATTTTCTAGCTCACGTTTTTTAGGTGACTTTAAAGCTAAAGTGACGCATAAGCTCCAATTCTGTTACACAAAGGAGTTTGTTTCTTGGTAATTTCCAGCCTAAAAACTCGTACATATTAGGCTGAGTTTGAGATTTTTCTAATTCTGGTCCCTTCATGCTGTTTGGTTACGTATTTAGAGTCTCTATTTGTGATTACAACTCACACAAAGGAGCCAAATGCATCAACATTTCTTACTATTACTTTTGACTCGAAGCTTGGAGAGTTCATTGGGGCAGATATATGTCAATCATTTCGGTACCTCCTCACAAATTCAACGCTCAGGCCATGTGACGCTCATAAAACAAATCAGTACTTTCAAACTCCTGTTAATTTCTACATGTTCTTAACGTTCAACCATAGTGTACCAAGCGAACGAATCCGAAAGTTTACATCTCCTGTAAGTTACCTTAATTCTGCCAATGTTGACAAAGTGATCGGATTGCACGAGAGGCTCAGATTTTCCACTCCTAGTTGACCAGACCTGTTATCACCCCACGTCCACAGATATCCAGTATCTAAAACAAGAAATGACGTATAGACAAGGAAGCAAATCACCGTTATGGCCTCTAAATAAATTGAACCAAAAAAAAAAATTGTGACAACATTTTTCCCACGTTAACCACTTGCAATCCATTTCAATCTCTTTCATCCTTTACCATCCTCTTTCTTTCATAATTCATTCTCGCACCTTTTTTGTATCTCTATCTTACCAAACTAATATTTAGTAATCTCCTTTAAGTTAACGATGGTTTTCACGTGCCCAAAAATGACTCAGAATATCGCAGGTAAGAAAACTTCATCACTTGAAAGGTCTCTTGATAGACGCACAATGAATAGGGCTGGCTCGATTTCTGAAATCTCTCCTCATCACTCCTCGGCAATTTCGATACATTCATAGTGAGACGGCGAGTTTGGATGGTTACCAAAATGTTGATTATTATAACCAAGATCTCATTATCCGAAAAGAACTTCTTCTTCATCCTGGATGAACCCTCCAGTCGTGTTACCCGGATAGAAATTAAAGTTTGCACTTTGTTCATCTCGGTTACCGACCTGACATTTCATGCAACTCATAAACATACAAAAATGGTAGGCAAAACTCGTCGCGATAATGTAGTCAAGGGGCCCGTTCCTCAACGTACCTGTAAATAGCGGCCCCGAAAAGCTATCCGTTTTGCGTTTTTTTTTGTCCAAAATACCAGATCTACACGAATTCGAATTTCCCACAATAAATATACTAGGAAAATGACACAGAGTAGACGAGTTTTCTACCTAAAAGAGTACTCCTGTTTCTTAGATTTAAATTTTTAGCTAAGGTTTCAAGAGTCTATCTCTTTAACTCCTAGCAGTTAGCGCTCCTGGAATGCTGTACTCTGTTTCCGTGTTTACATTTAGGATCAACAATGATATCGAGAAAGGAAAAATAATGAACTGCGTTTGAGCGAACACCTTAATTACTTTTAAGATCACATTAGTAATTCTCCTAACTGTCTGCCGTACAATTCTTATGATGTTAGTGTGGAGAATTTGGTATTAGATCAACTAATAATCTCCCAACTGATATTTTTCTTCATTCCCATCACTTGTCTGCTTGATGTTGTATTGATATTGTAAGGAGAAATTCTTCCTTGGTCACTCGAGGGAGTTAAGGGTTCACCAGGAGTTCTTGACTCACCGGATAACACCGCACTGTGACGCGCTCCACAAGCCACGTACATGATGTGATGACTCTCCAGCTCGTGTGCTCTCAATGGCTCATAACTCATGTTGAGTCCTTTGATTCCGAGCTGGCCAAACTCGTTGTCACCAAAAGCAAGACACTGTCCGTTCTTGGTGCACACTGTGGATTTTAAAATGTACACCTGTTTAATTACTCTCGTCGCGGTTTGCTCTCCTTCAAACATTTAGGAATCTGTCATTATTTATCGTCTGGAATGGGGATCGTGAGACTTTTTGTGGGGGGGAGGTCACATGGTTTTCAGGGGGAACAGAAGGGGGAACAGTTGTCTGTAACAGAGTTTGAATGACAAAAAGGGGGGGAGGGAGATTGGGAGAAAACTGAAGAGCCTTACGGGGGAATCAGGTAAATTTATGGGGACAAAACCAAAATCCCCCTCGTCGATTAATAATGACCGTTCCCATAGCAACAATTCTCCAAGTTGGCCATTTGAAATCCATTACAAATCTTTTTGGTTCCTTTTTCATTCATCCTCTCCATTTTCGTGCTTTTCTTTTTTAGCGAATTTAAAAAATTTTAGTTAACTTCACTCGAGAAATGATTTTATTGAAAACGAAGAACACAGCTTTGATTTCAGTCGTTGGCGAATTAAACCTTAAAATTGGGAAAGGTTTAAAGAAACAATTTTTTTACAGAAACAAATTCTGTTCACGGCATGCTGCAAAGTGAAGCCCCCAAACCTATATAATAACGCAAATCTTCTAAAATAATGCCGATGTTGTTCAAATTTCGTTAATGTTTAACAAAATAAATTTCTATAAAACTAGTAAAGTTGCCAGCTTCCTCTATTCGAGTAAGTCCCTGATAGGTGCAGACGTACTTTAGTCCTGTGCGTGATGGAAAACGTGATATAGATAGATATTTATCCCACAAGTTTACCTAGAGTATGGGCTTGTCCACAAGCCACGTGTGAAACTCGGTGTTCTTCAAGTCCTTCCACCAATCTTGGTAGTATTTCTTTTCTTGTAGCGCTCTCATATCCAAGCCTTGGACCTCCTTTGCCCCATGTGTATAATTCTCCTGTAGCTGTCAACATCAATGGAAAGTCATGTGAGGTGATCGACTGAATATTACAAAATTAACAAACCAAACAGAAACAATCACGACAGCCAATCACAACAAAGGTACGCTACGATACGAGAGCTCAGACTCATTCCAGTCTATTCTCTCCTAATAGGAAGACTGCCCACTGGAAGGCTATAAGCGCGGGAAAAATCGAGTGACCAAGTTAAGATCGGTTTTAGTTCGACATGTGATTGGTTGAGAGGATGGTCCGAATTTTTTTGGCCAATCACAAAGAGAAGTAGAGCAAACCCCGATAACTTTCACTCTTTTAATACTCAGTTGGAAATTGCGTTAAGCTCAGGCCCTTCTTTTTTGTTTTTGTTTTTTTTTTTAATTTTGCGTAAGATAAGGCACAAAAACAAATTAAAACTTTTCCAGAAACATTTCGGCTTTCATTTGGGAACTGTTTGTTTGGTTGGTTTTATGTGCCTAGACAAAGGCACAGATACATCTAACGCAGGTCCGGACAATTCTCAACAATCAAGTAGAAATTGCTCTGGGCTAGAGTCGCTTTGTCTTTTTTTCCCTTGGTTTGATAGTCTGGACGTTTGCGCCTAAGCTTGTGTTCTTTGAGTCCCCACGTCGCCACAGGGATATGACGCGTCATTATCTTACCACAAACTGCTGCTGTGTGGAATTCGTGACACGCAATTGTCGTTATTTTCATGTCTTTCAATGCAGCAACTCTGAGCGGGGTCGATCTGTCTCTAAGATGTCCTTGTCCAAGCTTGCCACCATACCCTAAACCCCAAGAAAACACTTCTCCTTCGTCTAAAAAAAAAAGAAACAAAAGCGAAACAAAAGTTTATTTAAGCTCCATTGAGTATAAAAACTGACTATTGCTCTCCCTACCTGCCAGCTCCGAGAAGGAGGTAGCCTGCAGTGCAGGCGTCTTCTCAGGGCGTGTTAACGTTACGAGCCCGCGATCGTTTGGTTGGCACTTCACTGTTCATGCAGTGCGACTTACTTGTTAACACAACAGTGTGAGTGGTTCCACAGGCTATTTTCATCACATCCTTTGATTGCAATGCCTCTACAACTTTAGGAACATTCTCCTCGGCATTTTCACCATGCCCCAACATTCCTGTGGAGCCATTACCCCACGTGTACAGGTCACAGGCATCTGTATATAAAAATAAAGCACAATCACTCTCTTTTAATCTCTGATCACTGCTAGTAAGTGTCGTGGGATTTCTTGGTTTTGCTTCTACACGACCTGCTCTTCTTAACATCAGAAAACTTGTTCTACCACTGACCCAACCTGATACAAACTAAAAGCACCTCTGCCATTCGTGTTTAACTCCGAGTTCTCACTGGTCATGGTAATACAGTGTTCTCCTTTTCAGGCAGTAACCGATAATATTTACCGCCTGAAGTACCCCTTATCACCGTTTAAAGTTGCTTGGAATTCTTGAAAATTCAACAGATAGAAGGATCCCTTTACCGGTTTGAAAATTTATTTTAGCTGTCACGCTTAAAATAGGGGAGAACACTGTAATACATGATTGTAAATTTATTCAAAAGGATCTGACTTTGTATTTCTGTCTTCAAAAAACCAAAGCTGCAAAGCATATACCAATATCATAAAGATACCTTCATTACGCTGTTGTCCATTTGCAGTCATGGGTTGCAAAGGGATCTAAAGAAAAGGAAATCATTTGCACACTGGTAAATGAGTGGGTTGAGTCAACCACTGTTATCTTTTTCTCCAACATGCTAAAATTATAATGTTTGAAATGAAATTTAACAAGTTGATGTCTACACTACATATGACAATGATGATAATGGGGACATGTAAGTTGCAGTGGTGACAATGACAAAAAAAAAATTGAATGATTAATTCCATATGATCATGAGTTATAATTATCTCTTTAACCCTTTAACTCCCAGGACGTAATTGTTTTTCTCCCCTCTAGCTGTTGCACATTTTCTTGTAAACCAGTTGGGAGAATTTGGCATCAGATCAAGATAACAACCTCTATGTGATAAGTTTGAGTATTCTCATTAGCCTTTTACTAGATGATGCATGAATATTATAGGGAGAAGTTACACATTTATCACTTCTAGGAGTTAAAGGGTTCAAGATTTCATGTGAAGGGAAATTACAAACACTGTATTTCATGACCTACCAATCAGAGAAAGTTAGGTTGTCAGGCAGTTTTGAAGTACTGTAGCATGCAGCTAACTTGTAGCGTTACTCCCATGGGAAACAAAAAGTGGTTAGAGTTAGAAGGGTTTGTTAACAGGATTGGTGTTGAATTTCAATTACCATGTTAATGATTAATTAGGAACTGTGTTTTTACCATGATTCTTGCACAATCAACAGTCATTTCTGTGTTATTTAGTTTGTTTTATGCGAGTTTATTAGAAAAGAATGTTTAGTTTGACGATCATTTTCTGTATTCTTTTTACTTAAATGTTTGATTCAGCAGTGATGATGTATGAAGAAATTGGATGCTGAACTCTCTTAGGGGTCAGAAGGTTACCTGAGTTCAAGTTAGATGATAGTAGATGACGAAAAAAAAAGTAGCCCAATCCAAATCCAAACCCAGTGGAAATAGCCTTTGTTCAAGTTAGCAGAATTCTACACATACATGTTCTTTGCTATTATAAAAGGCCATTGTGCCATCTTTCACTCACTAACTTTAGCAAAATTCACTTATTTCATAAATGCTGGGCTTTCTCTTTGTATTCTTTTCTTTGTATGTGAAGTGGCCTTTCTGGCCTTATCAACATGTGTAAAAGAATTATAACTGAGGACAGACTGTAACTAACAAATTACCACACAATCTACCCACATCATCCGTTGGTGATACACGTTGGTTATCCATCTCATCTCGATTCCTTCCACTTTTATATAATTCATCAATGACCTTTCTGTCATTAAAACCACTCACCAAGGCCTGTCAGATTAAACAAGTGTATAGTTTGAGTACTGAACAATCAAACTGTATTCTCCAATTAAACCCATAGCCACATCCCTCTTAAGACTAGAAAATAAAAGGGATGAAGTGTAAAGTCTAGATACCATGACAGTAATATTGAAGAAGAAAACAAAACTATTTAAAAAAATGGGCTAATTTGGTATGATCACCTTAGATGATGATGCAAGTTAGCAGCCCTAAAAAGTTTTTAAAGCTGATGTTTTCATTGTTAGCTGTATAATATCAGAGTGAATAGATGGGATAAAGGAGGTAACTTTCTAAAGAAACTGTGGTGCTGTGTCAGTGGAAGAGTATAACAGGTAATTTCATGCTAACAACTGAATTGAAAATGTAAATTGGCCACCATAAAGGAGTTGGAAGTCTGGAGTTCCTTCACTCTGACAAAGGGCTAACACTCATTATGCCAGCCTTTCAACTCTTTACAGTGGCCAATTTACATTTTCAACTCAGTTGTTAACACTAAATTATCTGAATAGATGGAAGTCTGCTGCTATTCCCTTGACATCTAAGCTGTCCAGAAAGCTGCAAACCTCTAGAATAAAAATTAATCTTTAAAATCAGCACTCGTTATCCCAACAGTATCAATGAACACTTTTTATGCAACTACTTCATTCTCTTTTATTCTTGTTACCATCTTCTCACCAATAGTACAGCTCCTCTTTCTGCATTTTAAAAAAATACTCAATTCACAATCCCTCTGTTTGCTCTGAGGAAGGGCTAACATTCAGAATATCAGCTTTAGAGACTCTTTACAGTGGCCAATTTACATTATATAATTTACATTGATAACACTACATTATCTTCCTATACACACCTGATGTAGCACCACAGATTCTTTAGAAACGTACCCCCTTTATCTTTAAAATATGGTTGCACAATGCTTTAATTTAAAAAACTTTAAATTTCATTAAACAATTATTTTACAACAAAACATACCTGCAAACCTGATGTCCATGTATCACACTGCTGTTTGTCAAAACAAACAACATCTATTGTCTGCAAACTTTTACCAATCTTGTAAACCACAGAGAAAGACATGGACTGAAAAAGAAGAGGAATATTTACCTCAGACCGATTTCCAATTAAGCAGCCCAGCAAGGGCCTGATTCTCATATTTAAAATTTAACCTTTACAGGTTCATTAATTTGAAATCAAATCTTCAACTAAACAAAAAACAAATCTAAATTTTAAAACAAGAAGACAAACAAACTAAAACCAAACAAAAAAAAATTGAATCAGAATTGAAAATGTCACTTATGTAAATTAAATAACACTTGTGCATGTAATAAAAAAATCCCGGATCTCTGAGCAGAAATAACTTCATCTTTCTTTGTTGACCTTCCCACTTCCCACCATGTTGTTATCAATAGACCCCAACACTGAAATGGTCTACAGAAATAAATAGATACATATCTACAGTAAAGCTTGACTAAGAAAGGCTGGCCAAGGTGCTGTTCAACTCCATCAAATTAAAATGCTCAACATTTATCAAAACATTTTATCGCTCCTATAAAGAACTTGTAGAATTATTAAAAAGTACATGTTGGTATAGCTATGACAAAAAATTGAGATCAGTTCAATTATTTAAATAATCTATCATGAACAATCCACTTTAACTACTACAGGAACTGAAAATTTGAACCTACAATGTATCATGAACACATGAGGCAATTAAATGTAACAGAATTCATAACAAAAATTATTTTTTTTTCTTTACCTCCCTCTGTGGAATAGGGCAGTTCTGAAATACTTTGGTCTTTTGTCCTTTTAAAAGCTCAGTCATTTGTGAAGTCGATACTATAGAGGTTACAAAATTACACTCAGGTTGAATAGCAACAGCAATTATTGCAGTGACCGTAAATTAAAATAAATCCAAGTTGAGTTTAGTTACAAATATCAGAGAAGATTCTTTATGCACAGGACTGCTCTGTAAAAAACCCAAGTTCAAAACTTGGGGTCAGTTCCGTCACACTTTGCTGTCAGAACCATAAAGTACAACTTTTTTTTACATACAGGCTTTAGGGACTAATTGGAAAGAGAATAGAAACACTATAGTAAGGCTATCAAATTTCTCATTTGCTTTTTACATACTTTTTATATGCTTTTCACATGCGTTTACATGCAAAGATTGTGTGCAGATCATTGACCTGTTGTTTACAATAAGCATTAATGAGTTTGAAGCTTATGCAAGATAGAGCAAATCTCATTAACTTGTATATGTAAAGAGAAGCAAACTAATTACCAGATTTTTCTCCTTTATTTTTTGGGGTTCCCCATTGTAAATGAGCAAGATCTGCAATAATAGATATTCATTAACAAGAGAAACTTTTGGAAAAGTATTTCAGTCTGTTAATGGTAAAAATGGATTTTACAAAGCAAAGCAGAAGTGATTAACATGTAACTTCTTCCTAAAATATCCACTACATTATCAAGCAAACAGGTAAAGAGAATACTCAAACTTATCAGGTAGAATGTTTTTATTATGATCAAACACCATATTCTCATAACTATTTTACAAGGAAATGAGTAGCAGCTGGAGGGGAGATTTAATGATCAGATCTTAAGAGTTTTAAGGTTAAAACCAAGGTGTTGAAAGAAGCAAAGACATCTAATTCACAAAGAAAAGTCTGTTGAGAGAAATTTTTGTACATCAATTTATCACACTGTACCTCTTGATAATACAAACTTCTTGATCTGAGGAGTTCCCTGACAAAATAAAATAAAATTAAAAGATTATTTTAAGTAATGTAGCAAAATTAATCAATACCTTTTTCAGTCCTGTAGAATTATTTCACTTCTCCCCATTAATATTTCAGACGAGAGAGATTACAAATAAATTTGGAAAAAGTTTGCTATTCACCCCTGCCTGCCAATTCATTAGATGTCATATTTCCTCAAACAAGCACCCACGCTCGAATAAAAGTCCTCCCTCCCCCCCCCGAATAAGTACCCACCCCCCTTCCCCCTCCTCCCTCACTTTCTTAAATAGTACAAGCAAAAACCTGTTTCTATGACATGACACTTTACCTATAACTTTTTAACAACGAAATCAGTACAGGTTGAAATTTTTTTATGAGCGCTCCCCTCGATTGAGCGCCCTCCTTCCGGTAAGCGCCCCTCCTTTGAGCCGAAACTATAAGTAATCGCCTGGGCGCTAGCTTATTCGAGGAAATACGACTATAACATGATATCGTCTATCGCCCCATCTCAGTGACATGCGTTATCTTAAACCTAGGTAACTATGACGGGAAATACTTACATGCCGCTTGACCTTGAGCATGGCAGAACCCTTTGTCATTTTGAACAACGACAGTACTGGGGATTCCACAGAATCAGCTGAATCTGGGTTACAGCTCGCCATTTTCAGATCCAATGACCAGTTACACAATGGTTAAAAGAAACACCATCAACCTCAAATCATTTATACAACGCTTCATGTTCTATGAAACTCAATCAAAGTCTTTTTCTGGTGAATAACGGTGACAAGGGTGTACTTTTCCGGAAAATTCTTCGTTTGATTTTCCGCCATCTTGGATTCTTCAGAACATACAATGCAGTCTGGGAAGAGAATAAAATATTAGTACCCAGTCTTTTCGCATTTCATGCGCGTGTAATGTCTGCCCAACATAAACATGGCGAACTTTGAACAACTTTTCATGGATTGAGAAAGCCGTTGTTTGGAGAAAAATCCAGACGATCCATTGGAGAATGATGGAGGCATTTATTATTGATCCAGCTAGACTAATAAGTGACATAGTGGGTGGGTATTTTTTGAGTCAATAGTCAATAAATTAGGAAATTCAGCCTATCTTTGCGTGGTTAAAACCCAATTCACACAGCAAATGAAATTTTTATAAGCGATTTTCACACATTTTCTCCTAATGTTCTTGTGTGGCAAAGATTCAGCGCTGATATAAAGCCGCAAATTTACAATTATAATGTAAAATTCTTGATGTTGTCAAAGGCCATGCATGGGTGCGATAATTAATTCTTCGTATAAATTTTGTTAAACTCGTGATCAGCTCGCTTCGATCAGACAGATTTTACACTTATCATATGCTTTACGTAATTTTAGTTCGAGCATGTAATTGCATGTGGAATGGCTCAATATTTTCCTTGTTTTAGATTTATTTTCGAAATCCTAAGATATGATCATGTGTTTCTGTCCCGTACTGTGTCCTTGATGTAAACTAGGTCAAAGTATGAAGCTTGAGCTGATCGCTGAATTCATAGTTTTATATGCACTTTTTGCTTTATTTTTTGGCTACAAACAATTGCTTCCATGATCATCTAAATGATGAGTCATTTAATGGGGGCTTTATGACGGAGGCAGAGAACGTGTTTCCCTGGGTAATTTCTATTTTCTTGCATGGGTATTGAACAAAAATCTACTATCATCTTTAATTAAAATTGTGGGGTGTTTTGGATTTTTAGGTTGCATATCAGAATTAAGAAATGTACACCAGTCATCACAATTACCTGTGACTGATGATGAGACAATTCTTCATAAGTTTTGTGTCAAGCTTGAAACAGTTCTAAGACACGAACAGAAGGGTATGTGTCTAAAAGTACTAGATGCTGATCTATATTTTTGTTGTCTCCTTTGTTTTTTTTTTTAAATTTTAATTAATAAGTTGAGTTACAAATCAAGCTAGAGCTCCAAAAATTTGGCTTCATTCTGGCTTGTTTCTGACATTCGCAAAAGTGCTTGATCTCCACCTCTTGTGATAGATGTCCTTCAATAGTCTAGCCCTGTTATGTCTTGGAGTGGCCAAGACAGAATTTCACCCTACAATAGCTACTACAATATCTAGCAGACAAAAACTATCAACTAAGGGATCATTTGCTAATTAAATACTTAATTGTCAGAACTAACATCAGAAGAATTGTGTGGCCAACATTAAGAAGAATCGCTAATGAGATCTTGGTGGTGAAAATGGTTAACTATTGTTTTTTAACCCTTTAACTCTTAAGATCTGATTGTTAATTCTCCTTTCTGGCTGTTACACTTTTCCTAGTAAATTAGTGATGAGAATTCGGTGTTAGATCAAGATGACAACTTTGAAATGATAAGTCCAAGTATTCTTGTTACCTGTTTGCTGGATATTGTATTTATATTTTAAGGAGAAGTTGCATGTTAATCACTTCTGGGAGTCAAAGGGTAAACTTACAGAGGGTTTTGCTGGTTGGATGTTATTGGAGTAATGAATACAATAAAAAAAATGTGCTATAAATGCGCATATATAGTATCACTGATTGTCGTTTTTTTTCCCTCAACCCAGATAAGTACTCTCTCCTTGGAGTTAGAAAGGATTACTGGAATTTTATTAGTGAATGCATTCCTAAAGATGATGGGGTACGACTTGTTCATGCCATTCCGCAGGTATTGTACACATGTATATTCAAGATAAGCTAAGTACAGGTGTTTTTTGTTGTTATCAGTTTCCATTTATTGTTGCTATATTGTAAAACAATTGGCTTTTTATGAGTTAGATTATTAGTCAGATGCATTTACATATTAACTACTATGTTCTGTGTCTCAAAAACAAAGTTTAAACAGAAAATAGCTAGTTTAAAGACAGTTTAACCACAACAGACAAAGGCAGTTCCTCCTTTTGGAAGTCACAGCATCTTCAATTGGTGAACATTTCCTTTATTATTTTCAACCCTGAATGTTTGATTCAGGAGTGAAAATGTAAGAAAAAATAAGATGCTTGTTACTCTTGGGATTCAAGGGTGAAAATTTATTAAAATGTAATTAATTTGTAAAGGAAAATAATTATTCTGAAGGGTTAAGAACTAATCTACTTATTCATTAGTCAGTGAGAAAGCATCTTGCTTCAAAAAATAGGAATATGATATATTTTGTCAATGTTAGATGTGGAGTTCATAATTTAATTTGTAGGAGTGTATATGATAAGCTAAATTATGCATATGGTTTGATTGGTTCTTACCAATGATCTATTGGAGAACAGAAGCAAAGATGATGTCACCATTTGCTACACTCACTATTTAAAATGAATAGCTTCCATGTTGCTGTAGGTGTGTTAAGTAAAAGATCACAACTAAGAAACTTCTAAATGTAGCAAGAAATTCAGTGACACACCAAGGCTTGTGTGTCACTTCTTTTTTCTAACCACATTTTGACATCATCTGCACAGCAACATGGAGTTTATTTGTATAATATTTGATGCTGTTTCATTTGAAGGTCAAGACACCTCAGGGCAAAGGACGAGCTTTTATTCGATACTCTCTGACAAAAAAGTCATTGGCTGATGCAATTCAAAGGTGCTTGGTTAAACGAAAACAACTGAGGTAGAGAATTTGAAAATCTGATTATTTGCTAATTCTGTACATATATATATCTTTGATTCCATGTGTTATAGATTATGAGCATTCCCTGCTTTTTGGTGAAGTCCATTGTATGGGTAAAAAAAGCAAATAAAAATGATTGATGTCTGCTCACAACTTAGAACTCCCCCAAATCTGCCAATATTTGTACTTTCCCATCTAATAAGAATGCTGCTTTGCAAGTTAGGGTTGCATTGACATTTTTCACATTGCTTTGATTCAAAAAAAAAAAAGTTTTTGTAATTGTTTAGTTAAAATATGTCACTTTATATGAAGGTTGACCAAGTATAGCAGTACTTATTTTGCTGTTAACACTTTCATTTCAGTGCATACTTTGGCCCTGAGGCAATTCTCTGCCACCCATCTTTGTCAACTGCTCTGGTTAACAAGTTGTATGACTTGAATGATCTTGAGTTTGATCTTCCTGTTGCTGGACATGAGCTCGATATTTCATGGCCAGCTTTCACAAGGTATAGTTAGTTGGTAATTATGCGTGGATCAATTTGAAGTTTTAACATCCTCCCCCTTCAGCAACCCATGGTCATAAGACTGTCCTCTGTGACTGAGGGGTTGGGGAATTTTGAAACTTACCTGGCTGTGGTGAGGAATTTGAACCAGAAGTGTCAAGTCTTTCCAGCAGAAAAAAACTATTTTATCTTTTAATATGGAGTTTTCAAAGGTAACAAGTTTACTTTTGCAAGCAAATGACTCAGAAGAAAAGGTGTACAAGGTTTAAAGCTTGGTCAATGAGTAGAAAGTCACAGTTTCTGATTTTGCCTTTTACAAAAAAATTTCACCTATCAAATCTGTCACTTGGGTAAGGCATTTGAACAATCCGATCTTCAAAAATTCAAATACCCAGGGGGTTGCCATTGTCGTAGTGGATTTGAAATGATTGACGCATTACCTATCAGAACAGGTTATAGAGGTTATACTCGTGGACAGGAATATCATCCAGCCTAACTGTTTTGTTTTGTTGTTGTAGGAGACCCTTAGGAGATCGTCAAGGCTCAGTGTCTGGTCGAAGAAGCAGTATAAGCAGTGTAACTAGTGTCGATTTAAGGGTGAGCAGCGATCCTAAATTTTTTCTAGGTTTTATTTCCGCAGTTCAAGTTTACGATATCCATATATTCACAGTTGTTCATCCATCACTACACGGTTTTATTACCTGAACTAACTTGATAACCAGCTCCTAGTTGGCTTGTTAGCTCAGTTGGTAGAACACTGTACCGGTATCACGGAGGTCATGAGTTTAAATCCCGTTCAGGCCAGAATTTTTTTCAGGCTTTGTTTTCACTTCTGCTTAGCAGTGTTCGGTATGCAATGATCACTCTCATCTTCATTTATTAATCTGCAGCACGAATATATGATATTCATATATTCACAGTCGTTAATACTTTATCATGCTCCTTCTTTAGATTAGAAAAAATGTATATTAATTCGTTTCCACAAGAAGGTTTTCCGAAAAAAGATGTTTCAACATTTGTCACCGTGGAAGAGCCCTCGTGAGGTTCGAACCTTAGACTTCGGAGTAACACATTCTTTCCTCCTTCGATTGGTTGTTGTGGTTACTTAGGTTTTGATTCCAAAATGCCTAAATGAAATCCCTGTAAATCTGTAAGCCTGATCTTTTAAATGATTGTTTCTTGTGTTAGCTCAGAATGATATCTAGGACCAGATAACGCAGGATTTAAGGGACATGACTTGAATTCTCGAGCGACATAACTCAAGTTTTGGGCGAGATGACATTCGGTCGACTTGACCGGTTACTGTTCTTTCGCCCGTCAGATTATTTTTCCAGACAAATTAAACGCAAGAAATGTATTCGTGTTCTTTTATCATTAATTATTTGTTTCGTATTCTCCGTTTAGAATGAGAGGCCCGATCCTCTGATTGGTCTAGCATCAGAAATCACCGCATTAACAACAATTTTAGGGGATGAAAATTCTCTTGGAAAGGCAGAGCGAAGTGAAGCTGGTTTCGATAATGTCAGCATTGGCGATTCAGCGGTCGATACCCCCAACATTACTGATATGACGTTGGAAATTTCTCATCTTCACCAACGGATTCTAAAATGGAAGGGTGATCTGGAATCTCAGTTGTCTAAAGCTTGTCATGATGCGAAGAAAGCGCACGACGAACGAATATTTGCGAACCAAGAACACGAGCTTAAAGTCAAACAACTGAACGAACGATACACCAATTTGACGAAAGGTGTGTCGGAAGAGATGAACACTAAATTCAAAGAATTGTCCGGGAAGTTAACAACAGCTGAAAGGGCCCTGAGTGAGAGAGAAGCCGAAATTGAAAAGCTTAAAGATGAAGTGAAGGTGTCTGTCAGTGCGTCTCACGAAGCACAAAGATCCGCGATAGAACTTGAAAGGAAGATCACGGGTTCTGAGAGAAAAAATAGCGAACTGTCTTACGAATGCGAGCAATTAAAAGAGCGATTTAAACGGAAGGACGAGATGGCTAGTGAGCTGGAAGCAAAACTTTCGGAACTTAGAGAAAAATGTAACAAACTTGAACTATCCGAAGCGGAATCGAACAAGAGAATCGCGGAGCTACAAGGAGAGGTAAAAGCTAAAGAGGTCGTGTTAAAGAGAGTTCAAGAATCGTATGAAAAGCTAAACGGGATGGTGTTTGGGTCCTTTGAAGAGCTAGAATCCGAGCTGAAAGGTAGGTTAGTGGATAGAGAGAGAGGATTACAAAATCAAAGCGCTGAGAACAGACGTCTGGAGACAAGCATTGTGGAGATCAAGCAACAAAATAGAGACCTTAGTAATAAACTTAAGGAAGCTAATGCAAAAATCGCCGACCTGGAAAACGCCAGCATTGAGACTGACACTGTTATTCGAGATTTAAAAAATCAGCTGAACTCTGTAGAACAGAACCAAGACACGTTTATGTTGGAATTAAAAGATACTCTTCAGCCAGGGGAAGGTGTGGATGTCCCGGATGGTAACCATGTGATGAAGGATTTTAGAAAAATGATTTTAAAGGTATAAAGTTTGTTTTCGGCAATACTAACAGTATGACACTTCCTACAATTAGATACTGCAATTGTTAGAACATTCAACCTCGGTCCCAAAATGTACGAGAACTCAGGCGACGTTCGTAGGGACACATTTCAAAATTCTTGTGTTCAGGTACTCCATGGAGCCAAGCTAAGCGGTAGGAACTTTACGCTCCGATCAGGGACGAATTTTTAGCCGGCACTGTAAGAAATATGACCCTCGTCGTGAATGGCGTGATCGTTCAAAGTTTGTTCTTAAAAGGCGAGATTGCCTGAATGCGTGGTAGCTAAGCTTAAAGCTTGAATTTGGCTAAGTTAAGTTTTGCCCATAGGCAGATGGTTAAACCGCCACAAAAAGTCATAACTTAATCGATTGGTCATTTCCTCGAGAACTTAAGGCTCGGTTTGATTTTTTAAAACGGTCAAAATAATATTTACCTCATGAATGAACGCAGCCCCGGAGGTTTTCTTTGTCCCTCTATGTTTCACGAGAAAATTTAAATTGTTAAAATTCTTCCTGACGGAAGTTACTTGTTATTTTAGCAAGCCAAGAATCTTGTAGCTGAAATGTCCATCCTCCATCGTCAGTTGGACGAGAAAAGTACGCAGAAGGAAAAACTAGAGGAGCATGTAGCTGAGCTGCAGGATAACATTGAAAAGAAGAAGAAACAAATCATAGAGTAGGTGTCGTGGTGTTCAACACACAGGTGTTGCATGCCGGCTGTGGTAAATGGATCAAAATGATGTTTTATTGTTTATGTGCTTTCTAAAAAGGTATCATGAGTTGTTTACTATGAAAACTGACGCGTCTCAAAGTATTTAACTATTTAACTCCCATGAGTGATTAAGACAGAATTTCTCCTTACCATAATCAATAAGCAGACAAGTGATGAGAATCAAGAAACATATCAATTAGGGGATTATTGGTTGATCCAATGCCAAATTCTCTGAACTAACGTCGTAAGAATTGTATGACAGACATTGGAGAGAATTACTAATGGGATCTTGGGAGTTAGAGGGTTAACAATTTATGCCGCATATATTGGAAAACTCAGTGTAAATTCATGTGCGCCTGTTACTATTTTACCATTGGGGAAGGGAATGGGGGCGGAAAATCAAAAATTACTGTGTAATTTATTCCAGGACCGACTAGATGGTAACAGTGTTATTTCATTTTAGTTTACACGAAGAAGTGGACACCTCTCGCAGGAGAATTACGTTTATTGATGAAGAAAAAGACATCCTTGAAAAGGTATGAATTTTCTTGATCACGTTATTTTTCTAGGGAAATTATCGCAATATGACCAGGTGATTATCGCGTTGATTGCGAGGTCATTAAAAATTGTCAAACACTTATGAAAAAAATACATCGAGGCTGGTATGACGCATTGTGTTGTCTCTTCCAAGACATTTCAGATTCTTTTTGGAAATTTCAAGCAAACACGTTCAGCATTGCGCTCTAAGTCCCGTTCGCGAATTCATGATGTTAGCCGTCTTGCTCTTTATCGCAGAAGGATTCTCAACTGCACGTTCACGAGTTACAATTTATGCTAAAAAAAGTTGCGATGTCCTCTTGTCTTTGAGCTTCCAGCCTAACAGGAAGCACTGCATTCTCTCTCTCCAGGAAAAACTTAAGGCAGATAACAGACTGGCAGAGCTGGAGGAGTCCGAGGAGACTCTGCAGTCCAATATCTCTTTCCTTGCAGAAGAAAAATGCAAAGTCCTCGATGAATTGACACAACTGAAGGGAATTAGAGAAGAAGAGGAAAAACTCAGATCGGAGGCGCATGACGAACTCGAGTCCCTGAAAGCCCAGCTTGAAGACACGGCGCAGTCCAAACAGAAGCTAGAAAACGAACTGGCAACTATCACAGACTCTCTTCAAACTATGGATGCCGAGAAGAAAGATCTGGATGGCCAACTGAGATCGCTGGAAGAGAAAATGTCTTCTGTACACGACGAGAGAATCGGCCTTGAGCACGAGTTAGATGTTGCCAAGGAACAATTGGAGGCAGCCAATGAGGCGAGAATTCGGGCTGAGCAGAGTCAGGTCAGGTCACAGGAGCAACTGGAGAGCCTGCAGTGCATGATGGATCAGGAGATCGCAGCGCTTAAATTTCAACTCAGTTCGGAGACTATGAAGTATGAAACAGAGCTTAAGGTAAGTTCTATACTTTTCCATTAAACGATCGATGAAAAATGCCAGAAGGAGAGAGAGAGAGAGTGTGTTTAGAACGTTCACAGAATACAGTTCACACCACTCATTTTCAAGGATTTGTGGTGAACATAATCTGTTTAGGGGGTACACGTTAGAGAGCTGGACACTGAAAGCGGCTAATTAGTTATCATTTGAAGCAGGACAATAGCTCCTGTACACAGATCATTAACGGTATAGGAATATACGATTTATTGGGACCTTGCCAAGGAAAACCTCAACCACTTTAGTCAATTTCTATCATTTTGCGTGCGAGACATTTTTTTCAACTTTCCTTCCTAACGAGGTGAACAACATCCACCTTAAACCTAAGAAATATTCGATACAAGTTTGAAATTACAATGGGAAGTGCACAAACATTTGCAAGGATAGTTGTGTTTTTTGATCCCAGGCTCGAACAATGAACTCTGCTAGTTCTTCTCTCCTAGTGGTATACTGTAGATTCGGGAATCGCCAGTTACTGTGGCGTGGAAAATCCAACAAAACTTTTGCAGGTCACCTGCTGTGAACTCGCGTTTTGTCTTTAGCGGAGAGGTAGCAATAGTCTTGGCTCGTTCAGTCCGGGCAGGCTGCTTTACTCTGAGTAAGCTATTACTAAGTCAAGTTCTCCATTTTAGACTTTGTCGCAACAAATCCAAGAGTACAACGGCGTGAAAGAACGTTTATCAGAACAAGGCGAGATGATCACAGACCTGGAGAACCGCTTAAAAGAACGAAATGATACCCTGCAACACGACAAGCATAAATACGTGACGGAAATAAAACATCTACGAAGCGAGGTAGGTGGGCGTGACTGAAACTGGGATAAGCGCGCACAACGGCCAACCACAAGGTATTCGAAGCTCAAAAGTTATTTTCAGTGTGTGTCGAAAAGACTGAGCGAACACAATGATTATTAATTGCGAGAAAGTTACGTAATTGTTTTTGTTCGTGGCTTTCGCTTTTTGCATAGCTAAGCTTTCGCTTTTTGCTTAGCTAAGCTTTCGTTTTTTTACCTTTGTTAACCCTTTAACTCCCATGAGTGACCAAGACAGAATTTCTCCTTACAATATCAATACAATATCAACCGGATTAGTGATGAGAATTAAAAAATCAATTTGGGGATAATTAGTTGATTCAATACTAAATTCTCTGAATTAACGTTATATGAATTGTATGGTTGACAGTAAGGAGAATTAAAAATTTGATCTTTGGTCATATATTGTGAGCAAGACTTTTACCTGATCCGATGAAGTATTGGTAGTAGTGTTGGACACTGGGCCCAAACGTAGTTGAGTTTTGATTGACACTGCACGTGACTGCAGTCACACATGTTGCTTTGAGGTAGTGTTTTTTCTTAGAGAAAAAGGTGTGAGAGAAAAAAACTGTAGTGTTTATAGCAAGAAAACCTGTGATTATGACTAAACTTCTTTTGCCACGGAGGTATTCCCGAAAGCAGCGTTAAAGTGCGTTCTGAAGGATCTCTTAGTTTAAGCTTTTGGTGTATCGCCCGACCAGTGTGGGAACCGTGGTGACCTAATAGATAGTGCACTGGGCTCTGAGTGGTCTGGGTTTGAGACCTGACCTGGTCAATATGTTGTGTTCTTGGGCAAAACACTCGACTGTCGTAGTGCCTCTCTCCACCCAGGAGTATGGAGAATTATAAGGGAAGCCCGGTGAAATGCTGGGGTAGGGGTTAACCCCCCCCCCCCGAGGGGAATAGTGATACTCCCAGCAGCTCCATGCTAAGGAAACCGGAATGAGCTCCGGCTGGGTTAATCATTTAGCTCGAGTTTGTCCTTAACCTATTTAATTTCGATGTTTTTATCCTGCTTTCCGCTTAAGATGCAACAATATAAAAGTGGATTTGACGAAAACAAGCTTAGAATGCGCGCATTGGAAAATGAGCTTCTCCTGGCTGCCAAACAGTTAGAGGAGGAACGCTCCAGACAAAGAGAACTGAAGAAAAAGGTGGAAGAATACGAAGAAGAAAAAGATGTACACAGTCTTCGATACGAAAAAAAGATTTCCCAGTTCAAAGAAGACATGGATGAGTTGAAAAAAAGGCTGGTAGAATTAACAAGGTATAGCGATTGAAAAGATTCTTTTTGGCTAATAGATATTTGTCTTGAGAGTAGAAGTGTTGGTTTACCAGTGAGCGCGTTGGACTTAGCTTTTTAAGGTCCGGGTTCGAGGCCGCGCTGAGTCATTGTTTGGTGTTCCATACCGTGCTATGGAAATATACATACAATGCATTTCTGTACCAAGACCGTATAACTGTGCAGGTGGGGAGGGGGGGGCGTTTAGTAAACTTACATAATTCCGCGCGGATAACCTTTTGGTGTTCCAGGGCTCTAGAAAATTAACGTTTTCTGTGGAGATAGTATGTCAATCTGTAAACGTTATCGGGAAGAAATGAATGGCAGCAAGTATTTACTCAAAAAAGTAATTGGCAGTAAATTGAAACAAAAGCAACATATGTGAATATGAAAGTGATCTTCGCAGTAACAAACACTAATTAAGCAGTAGTGAAAATAAGGCCTGAAAAAAATTCAGGCCTGTACGGGATTTGAACCCATGACGTCTGCGATACCGGTGCAGCGCTCTACCAACTGAGCTAACAAGCCAACTGAGAGCTGGTCATTATGTTGGTTCCAAAGAAACCCGTGAAGTGGTGAATAAACGACTGTGAATACATGAAAGATATATATTTGAACTGCGGATAAAGCAGTTAAAATGTATCTAATTAACGGTCATTTCTTGGCATTTTCCTTGTAGCTGCCATACATTTCCTTATATCCAGGATAATTGCTTTGAGTTATGTTAAGATGATACCCACTGCAATGATTCGGCAAGAAGAAGGTACACGTTAATCACTTTTGATTTTCTTTAGAGAAAAAGCGGAGTTATGGAAGAAAGCGGATGACATGGAGCACGAGATCAAGGTGAAAGCGGACGATAGATGGATGGACGATAGTGAAGTTTCTCACTGCCTCAGTTGTAAAGCTGAGTTTTCGTTCCTCTTGAGAAAGGTGTGCTCGTGAACGTAAATTTTATTGAACTGAAAAATAGATATATCGACTTCATCCTGACCGGGTCACTGGATACACGTTTCTGAAGCGTGACACTTTTAATCAGACGAAATAGTTGAATGCATGTCTTGATCTGAAGTAAAGTCTAATCTTGGCCTTCTGGTGAACACTGCTCTGCCACAGACTTGAAGGTAGACTAAGCTTTTCCTGAATCATTATCCTGGAACAATCCAATTCGACAACAAAAACGACCGCAATTTTATGTAGTAATCCACTTCTGCAAGTGCTGTAATATTTCAGGAATGCGATCATTGATTTGCGATAGAATTAAAACAATGATGATGGTACATTTTGAGAAGTTAGATAAAGACTTAAAAATCAAAAAAAAATTCTCTCTTTATCAAAGAAAGAGTGCAAGCCTTCCTTTCCTGTTCGAAAAATAGTCACGAAGAAAGACGCCTTTTAGGGGGAAGGTGGGAAGCTGCTTTTTTATTAATGTTTATTTCTGTTCTTTTCAGCATCATTGTAGAGTGTGTGGTCGTATTTTTTGTCACAACTGCTCCAACAATTGGGTTCAAACTCCTCACAGCAGGTATGTCTGGTTTGTTACTTGTACAGCGCTAGAGTCTGAAAGGCAAAACCAAAGTAACTACAACTGTCAATCTGCGCAAATGTAAACGTTAGAAAAGAGCTAATAAGAACTGGAGGCAAGTTGACGCTAACTTCCTCAAGCAAACGTGAGTGACCAGTACGAGATTAGATGAAGTTTAATATTTGGTTGTTTGAGGAAGTGGTTCGCAATTTCCTCACCAGTTGCAGAGTAGACTAACACAGGAGTTATGAATTGCGAGCTTTAAAGACTCTATTCAAAATCAGAACCGTGAGCTGGTACATAAAAGTTCCGTTTTTTAGCCTGTAACTTTGTTTGGCTCCAACTTCCAGCGGTTAATGTTAGGAAGCCGGGTTATGCTCCGGCCGACGTAGTTATCGCAATGTAATTTCTTTTTTGTGATTTAGAAAACTCCGTCGTGTTTGTGAAGATTGTTCAAAATCCGATAAACGGCTTAATGCTCAACTTGTGGGAAAACCTTCAGACGTGGACGGCGATTCGACATCAGACGTCAGTGATTTGCAGTCAAATCGGAGGGAAAGCCTGCTGAGTTTCCAGGATGACGAAGGGGGCCTGGGCGCTGATGACGACCCTCAGCCTGGTGCGTGACACAATTCGCTTAGTGTAGCGCCTATTGGTTTTTTTTTTGGTCGCACATCAGTAGATTAGCGTAGCAAGTAAATTATCAGTGTTTCGTAACAAAGAGAGACCAGGAAATTGATTTTTAGAAAGACGTGAAAATTTTCCCAACTCGTTACTACATATTCTGTTGGGTATAGGTCCAAAGAATGAGGCAGTTTAAGGAGGATATTTCTTCTCTTTGGCGCACTTGAGGAATACGGCTGTGATGACAAATCTCTATATTTATAAGCACCTGGCTTATTTTTGAGCGCGATTGATAAACGCTTTGCCTTAGCCTACATACCTACCTTTCTCTTCTTGTTCTAATTTATTCTGTAATTTCCATGGTAACTTATTAGGTCCCAGTACCTCTGGTGTAGTTCTCCCGGGTTGTCCCCAGTCCACCTCCACTCCTAAAAAATCCGACAGGAAAGGAAGCAGCGATAAAGAGCGCAGCCAAAGTGTGACAAGTTGTGAGAATCACAAATACACCACCTTGAAAAGTGCCAAGAAGTCCGCAGCCAAAGAAGCAGCCAAAAAAACTGTGGAAGAAAAACCTGAGCCTGACCATTCATCGAAGGAGGAAGAAGAAGAAGAAGAAGAAGAATATGAGTTTTTGGAGGAAGGAGACGAACAAGCGTTTGAACAGCCGCAAGCTCAAGTGGTTATCTGTGAAAGTGACGTTAGAGAAGACTTGGCGGTACCAGCGTTGAACGAGGAGCCGGGACCGTTTTGGCACGTAACTGTACCCCCAGGAAAACGTCATTTGATTCCAGTACTGGTCGGAACTCAGGGAACGTCGCTATCGTGGAAGTTTTCGACCGAAAAAAGGGTGAATTAATCTATGTAGCGCTGTTACGTCTTTAAAATTCAGAGGAATCGAGCTGAGAGAATAGGGCTGGTTTCAGGGGGGAACAAAGATTATCTTTGGGGTATGAAGGACATAAGCCTTTAAGGGAGGGTGCAGGCTGACAATAATGGTGGATGGGTTTGAATACTTTTGAACTAAACGTTGTCATTACGTTATAGAGCATACGCTTTGGAGTTGCCTTCAAACTCTCGGAGACAAAGAAGGACAGTGAGTGCGAGGTAGGAGATCGTGTCATTTCATCGGTGTTACTTACTTGCATCCATCGCGACGGGTAAGGTAACGAATTCGATCCTAACGACGCGTCGGTCAACGTCTTGACCGACACGTCGGCGACACACTATCGAAGCCGAGTGGGATGGAATAAAATACCATAAACACCGGCATATCACCGGGTTTTGAAGCTCAAATTTTGGGGGGGAAAAGCTTCTCAGAAAAATTGTTTTAAAGCAGTAGAAAGTTAACTCAAAAGTTTCGCTGTAGTGTTTCGTAAAGTCATCGATCCATCGTTTGACTCTTTATAGTTGAAAAAAAGTAAAACTGTATACCGCCCTGGACATATGAGAAATGTTTTCTTTGATACTTTTGACGAGTGCATTTTCATTTTTTAAGCGTTCTTTTGATCGCTAACAAGCAATAACCAACATGCTTACTATTATGAAACTTGCCAACTTGGCGATAGAGGAAGGACCTGACACAAGAATTGTGTGATTGATTTGTGGGACTGGGTCGAGAAAGAACAGAAAAGATGGCGTCATATTACCGTTTTAACTTTAAGAAGTTTATCGGCAACAAAAGCACACTAAATAGGTAACAAAAGCATACTAATTCTAGATGAGTGAGAAGTTTAAGGAAAAAGAGAAGCACTGTAGCTTGATCCTCCTTCAAAACCTTTAATTGGATTTTAAAAAATGTCGCCGACGCACCGCTGGCACATCACCGACACACAACAGACGTTTCTCATTAATTCAAAAGGAAACTAATGGGTAATGCGTCGGCCGACGCGTTGAACAATGCATCGAATGATGTGTTGTCTGGATCGGAGTCATCATCCTACCCCATTAAAACAAGGTAATCCTTTTAAACGATGAAACAATAGCATGAGCGTATTCTTGCTCCGCAAAACGTGGAGATTCTCATACTCATTCATCTATTAATTTCCTAATCTTCTTTTTACTTTCATATGTCTGTGTTAATTTCCTTTTTTGATTTGGGGAGACGTGGTAGTTCAAGCGTTGTGTTCCATTTCGTACTACCGCGCTTCTCTCCAATATTTCTGTTTCTGACGTCAGATATGCTTACCTTTCTCCAACAGACCGTAGTGCCTTTATCTCAGTGTAATTCTCAGCAAATTTCCATCACGGGTAAAATAACAGACGTTTCTCCTGGAGTATATGTGCTTGTATTCGATAACACCTTCTCCAGGTCAGTTCTTTTGCCATACATTTAATTTCAGGTTTCTTTGCTACCGACAAAGCACGCCATGACGTGCATGCCATGCGTATTTTTAGGCCGTTTGGGTGGTTGACCCTTCAACTCCGCAAGATCTGATGGTTAATTCTCCTCTCTAGCTGCTACACATTTCCTTGTACATTAGTAACGAAAATTTGGTGTTAGATCAAGAGAACAACTTCTGCCTGATAAGTATTCTCATTATCTATATGTTGGATAGCGTAAGGATATTACAGGGAGAAATAACAGTTTAATCACTTATGGGAGTTAAATGATTAAGAACTGATTATCTCTATGCTATTTTTGAGCAGCTTTATTTGATTGGCAAAGCTAAAGAAGTAAGAGTGATTTCAGAAAAGGGAAGACTTGAAGTGCTTGCTCTGCAACTTCAACATATAACCTTGGACTCGTCCATTCTTTCTCTCCCACACTAGACAAGATAGCTTGTCAAGGATACTTGTTATAGTAAATTTCAGGAGTTTCATTTCTCCTTTTCCCTTTGCAATTTCCCGGACAAGTGTTCTTGTCAAGTCACCTTAACTAGTAAGATTTGAAAGGGGTAAAATGCCATAGAAACTGTGGTGCAGCGTCGTTGTGGGGTATTACACAATTATTTGGTTTTATCAACAGAGTTGACGAAGAGCTTGGGGCTCTAAACGTCAGTTTTAGAACGGTGGCCAATTTACATCATCAACTTAGTTAACAAAGCCAAATTATCTATCAATGAAATATCAGTCCTTGATTAGAATTTCGTCAGAAAAGTGTCCTTATTCAAAGGCTGGCCTTTCGACCTTTGTCTAGACACTAATTTGTTTGTTTTCATTCAAGATTTACATCCAAGCGTTTATTTTGCCTTTCGATCTTTGTCTAGAGACTAATTTGTTTGTTTGTTTTTTTCATTCAAGATTTACGTCCAAGCGTTTATTTTGCATGGTGCAAGTTGAACAAAAGGATAATGAACACGACTCTCTCACGTAGAAAAAGGAAACAGATATAATGTATTATTATATTAGTGATGATGTTTTATATTCTTAGATGTTTTAATAGAACTATTTCTAAACAATTTTAGCGCCATTTCTTTTAGCTAGTGATAGAAAAAGTTGGTGTTTTTAGAAAATGGATTTTAGGATATCTCTTAAAGAGTAAACTTTTTAAATGACCCAAGTTTTTACTACTAATAAAAGCTATAAGTTTTTATTCTTAATTTTAAATCTAGCGTAACTTAAACCCTTAAAAAAATTCTTCAATATACTGTGGTAATGAACATTATTACCACAGTACATTGAAGAAATGTTTTTTAAGGTTTAAGTTACCTTAAGTAATAGTAATAATACTTTTTACAGCGGTAATATTATAAGTCAAGTGAGATATATTTGGCAAAAGAGCCTTACATTCAGTACTACAAACTACTGAACTAAAAAACTTGAAATGTGTCTGTCCATACGCACATTTGTTCAAGCTTTACGATCTTCCTTAAAACACTATGATTCGGTTCAGATACTGATCTTTTCATTAGTTGAATAGATATTAATCCATTTTACCGTATTTTGACGGTAGTCTCTTTTTTGCTTCAACATGAAAGAAAACTTTTTTTTGATTTTGGACGATGTGAATCCGACTTGTGCAAAGTTTAGTGCCTGAACCGGGCCAAGTCCTTTTTTTTTTTTTCAGCCATCTGTCGTACTTAGCTACAATGAGTGGCAAAAAGGCCAGCACGCTCTAACTCTTTTTGAAATTTTTTTTTCTATAACATTTATCTCTCCCTCTGCCCCATAACAGTGTCACCTGGTATTGTTAACAAAATAGTCACTAATTTATAGCAACATTGTTTAGGGTGCAAGGTTGGGACTTTCGAGAAACATGAAACAATTTGTTTTTACTATTTTGAGTGGAAATTTTCAACCACCTACTGGCGGGAAATTAAACGGAGTGATGAAACCTTTTTGTTCTCGACTGTAAATGCATGAAAATCATATATGTGAACTGCGGTTGAAGAAACGAATATGGAAGCGATCCTCGCAGTTCTGAGCATTACTTAAGAAGTAGTGAAAGTATGGCCTTAAAATAGTTCAGGCCCTTATGGGATTTTTTGGGTTAGTAGAGCGCTGCACCGGTATCGCAAAGGTCATGGGTTCAAATCCCGTACGGGCTTGATTTTTTTTCAGGCCTTATTTTCACTACTACTTAAGTAGTGTGTTCATAACTGAAAGCATCGCTTCCATATTCATTTTTCTTCTCGTCTTTTTCAGTTATAGTATACTCTTGCAGGAGCATAGTACTTAATGGGCTCCTGAATTTGGTGAGACATTACAGGTAGTTGGGTAAATTATTCAACCGTGAACACCAGTGAAATTGATTGGTGTTCACTTTATTCATAGTAAAGTGTTGCTATCAGAGGGAAATATTTTTATGCAGTGTTGTTACGTCTTCTGTGGGTGTTTTTGAAGTAAAAGACTATTTGTTGTTAAATTCATCTTCTAGCCCTTTTCTGTAATACTTATCTGGGTGAATGTCTCTAATTTAATGATTCTATCCTTCATTGGCGTTTTGATTCCCACTAAGACGTTCAGTATTTAGAACGAGAGATATATAAAACGGCTCGAAAATTGCAGGAGCAAACAAGCGGGAGAGCACTAGTTCGGGTCGCATAATGAACGCCGTTGTCCACGCGACGCGACCCAGACCTCCTCCGCTACTATCGTGCCGTTTATTTCGCGTGAATTTTGCACCGGTTTGCTTGCTGAACGCTTGGAACCGTCTAATCCTTTGTAAGTTACTTCCTTCCTTACATCCTTCTTACTTGATCTCACTTTCATACCTTTTATCCCTTCGCTTCTCTACATCTTTTTATCTCTCCCGCTTATCTTGGAAAATCTGACTGAACTTACGCTCCCTCACCTATTACTCATTCCCTTTTTAATTTTGTTTTGTTTGATTTTGTCATTAGTTCTTCATGCGTATGATAATTTGCTACTGTCCAACAATCATTTTTCATGGTCAGCGGGTTCACTGAAGGGACTGCACGCCGAGATTTTGCTTCACATTTTTATAATGTCTCGAAGTAGTCGCATAAATATTTGCCTCTGAAAGGTGTTGGGCAAAGGTTTGAGAGTAAACTATTATGGCTATATTGGTGTCGAGTGGAAGATCAGGATTTCTCATTCTCTGTATTGCCTTTGCCTTGACTACTGACCTCCCTTACTGTAGCAGAACCTTACGTGGGTCACGCCAATCTTCTTCCGTTGCTTTTCGGTGTGTGGATGCTTCATTCCAAATCGAAGAAAACATAACGGTATCCTTGCGCACTAAACATTGCCTAAACTCAGAACCCTCGATTCGTTGCGCCGGCTATAAGATTTCATAATTTTTCTACGCTTTGCGGGCCTATAATTCATGATGTCTGAGCTCAATTTCAATTCGAGAATCGCACTCTTGCCACTCGATTCTTTTTAATTTTTTGGTTTTCTTTTCTTTTTTTACGCGTGCTTGGAACTGTTTCGAAATTTTCAATAGCGTTTAAATATCATTTGTTTCACGAATTAAATCAGTCTGCTCCAGTAAAGGCGAAGGCGCTCGATGGCGCGAACTGACCATGACCGCGGGACTACATCCGGGACTCGCACACACGTTGTCCAAGATGGCGGAAACAGGTGATCATACTTGGCTCGCTACTTTCTTCTTTTTATTCGATCTTGTTTTCATTTATCTCGATTTTGTGTCTTTTCGACTGGATAATACAACGTTTATTGTAGCTCTTATGTAATACTACCCGTTTCTTGCCACAGCTAAAAAAGCTAAAAAGAAAAAGGGGAAGACTTTGGCCCTGACCGAGTTCTTGGCAAAAGATGGCGAAAACGGATCGTCGACTGTTGCTCATGCGGCTATATACTCAGCTAGATCGACGAGCTGGGCGGACGAAAGTGAGAGCCTAAGCACTGAAGGTATTTAAAGTTCTTTTTGAGCGTTTCTTGGGCTGATTAAGGCAAAATAGCATCACAGGGGCTTCCAAATATTTCGCTACGCTACTTATTTAAACCGATAAGTTGAACAATGATTCAATTTATCTTCAACCCAGTGTAGGGCTATCTTAAATAATGTTACAAATTTCCCATTATTTCGAAGAAACCACAATTGATTGTTCTTTTCCGTTCGACCCTTATTGGATCTTTGCAACGCTTGTGCAACTTCACGGTGAAAAATAAAACACAGTCACTACGACATGCTAGCAGGTCATTCATAAAAGATAGTTAAGTTACGTGAGATTGTGAAATCTTGAATTATTTTAAGAGAAATAAAATTTTTTGTGGTAGCAGAATGAAATTTAAATGAATGAGTGATTTCAAGCATCTTTGTTTGGCTCCCAAAGCCTTGTAATGTTATGGTAATTACCTCGCAAAAACCTTCATATCGATCTCTAGAAATAAGTCGTATTCAAAGAGACACGACCGACAAATAGATTCTCTATTTTTGCCCCATGTCTGCCACTAACTTGTTATGGTTACATTTTTCAAAACAATATTTTGAAATGTAAAATTAAAGACTCTCAAGAGAAGTGTAGACAAAATAAAGCCATCACCAAGTACAAATTAGCTACGAAGAAGTATTTTAGATATTACCTCGTGTATGTTCGCTAACAAGATGACGTGTCTTACAACTGCTTTGATTTTAACTAATAATTTAAATAATTTTTTAACAACGCTAACCTCTGCAGAAAAATATCAGAAAAAAATAGAGATTCTGATATTTATTGGTCATTTATTGAGAAATAGAGATTTTGCTTTTTCTAAAAAACTAAACAATATTAGTTTCATGACTGGATTTTTTTGTTGCACAATGAAGGACCTTTCTTTATTCACCATTATAAACCCCAGTTTGAGATAATGACAAAAAAATTAAAGGGGTTTGGTGACATATACCAAACATTTTGTAAAATAATTTTGAGTTTAAAAGAACTCACCCTTAGCAAGTCTTCTTTATATATTTCTTTTGTTTGTGTTCTAAATTTTGTTCTGAGGAGAAAAAAAAGAGATTTTGCTCAAGCTTTTAAGGGAAAAATTATTTCATGGAAAGTCTGAACTGAAAAAGCCTACACAACTCTGCTGTATCCCAAGGAATATGTTATTTTTTTAAGAGTAAATATAGATTTAAGGTGATATGGAATCCTGATGCAAGGAAACCTAGTATGATGAAAATAATGTTACATGTAAAATGAAAAAGCAAATTCTTCAGACCCAAAGGAAGTACAATTATAAAAAATGGGATATGTACCCTGACCATGAGAAAATCTTAGCATCACAAAATTTGGATACGGTCAAGTTAAATTGAGAAATTCAGAGTTTGGTTTTGTTCAAATGTCTTCCATAACACAATACATAATATGCAGTACCCACACTGTTACAGACTGAGCTGGTCTTCTCAAAATTACTTGGGGTATATCTACATCCAATTTGTCAAAGATCATTTCCTTACAATTTGTGAATTTTCCCAAAAGGTTTACTGGTAACCATCCATACTCCTGGTCCTGGTTGTTCAAAGGGTGGATAACACTATCCACTGGATAAATCACTATCCGGTGGATAGCGCAGTATGGGTGTTATGTGTTGGAATATGGGTGTTATTCAAAAAGAGAGGGAAGGGGATTTTGATTTAAAATTTTTTCCAGTAACAACTCTTTTTTTGGGTTAAATATCTTAACTTAAACTTAATAACTTTAAGCAGGGTTTTTGATGACTTGTTTTTGTAACTGATAGAAGTTTAATGCTAATAGTCTTTATATTTAATGGTAACTTTTCTATATTTCATAATGAACACTTTTTTTAATTGTATGTTCAGGTAAAGCCATGTAAACAGGCTAATTTTCACAGACAGTGTGTGCTGAACAGAAAGCAGCACTGTACTTTCCTTATGACTACAACATCTGTAACTTTCTTCAACTTAAAAAGATTTTTTTTTGTCTTGACTTATGAATTCTACTCCAATTATCCTTTGTTTAGGCCTCAATGAATTCATCTATTTTCTTTTCCTATTTGTTGTGTGAGTAGAGATTGCTGGTCTCCTAACTAGTTTATTCCTCAAAGGGAAGAGTTAAGAGAATAAATTACTATTTCCAGTACCTTAAGGCAGTAATGTAGTTTCATAATTGGTTCATATGTCAGCGTACGTTCATCGAGATATGAAGCATGCAGGAAGTTTGCAGAGCATGAAAGATGCGCAAGAGTTGCTTGAGGTGTAGCCGAGAGCAACTCTAGCTTCTTGAGTGCTCTCCAAAACTTTCCAAGTGCTTCATATCTCAATGAACGCACGGCTGACATATGAACCAATTGTTTTATGAGATTTTCAACCTGAAGGAAAATTTTTTTCTCAAGGGATTTGTTTGCTGACGTCATGAGCGTGCACAATAGGAATATGAAGCACACTTGCGCAATTGAATTTGATTAGACAAATTTACTAGCTATGTTATAAAAATGCCTAGACCATGATTCATACACATGAAATTTTGATTTTTTTTTTTGTCTTTTTTTTATAGTGGACACTACATGGCCTGAAGAGGCTTATGGGGGAATCTCTACAGGCAATAAACTACGTGCAGCAATGGATAGGGCCTCTCTTCCAACTGCACCAAGGGCATCCAGAGGCCCTGACATAGATGTTACCAAAGTTCCTGATGATCCCCCTTACACAGCATTTCTTGGAAACCTTTCATACGATGTTGACAGGGATGACATCTTTGAGTTCTTTGCCGGCAAAAAGGTATGAAGTGTTCAGGTGTACACTGCAATTTGTTACCTAGCAATATCTGTTTACAGAAATGATGTTATAGAGCTATTTGGTAACATAAAGACAGTTTTTTCTTAGCAAAAAAACTTAAAAAACCACAACACACCTATAGCATACCATATTCTCTTTACAGGGAGGGGTCCTAATAGCTGGGTAAGTTTATGAAGGAGTTTTTCTTGATGGAAAACTTTATGAATTACTTGATATCCTTCTCAAGTGTACAAAGCCTGTGTAATTATCGTAAAAACTATTTAATTATCACCAGTTGGCTACCTTTTGAATAAGATTTTTTATTTGGCAAAAGTTTAATCCACCCATCCCGGTCCTGTCACATGCTTTCAACCACTTCTCAGTAAAACAACATGCTTGACATTCCATTGGCAAGACTCAGAGACAACTGAGTATGATAACTTGGTAACTCAGAGTGCTCTTCATAACAACAGTATTTTTTTAGGGTTATTTCAGTATTCAAATTTTGTCTAACTTTTATTTCACTTGCATAATATACTTGCATGTACTTGCCTGACATTACTGGTAAGCCAGGGGAAAAGCCATTTTTGGGAAAACTGGGGTTTTGATAGGAGTTTAAAATTTAATTTTGCTACAATCCTCATTTGTACTATTAGAAACTGTATCCAAGAGGTTCTAGTTTTCAAAATTAGTTGTGGAGCTTCATTGAAAACCCAAATCACATCATGTATCTTTTAAAATTGACTCAGATTTTGATATCTGTGAGCCATGTCTCTCACAGTAGGGTTTTTTTGTTATACAGATCACTGAAGTGAGGCTCCCCCAAGACAGTAATGGGCGACTTAAAGGGTTTGGCTATGCAGAGTTTGTGGATAAGGAGTCTCTTGTGGCTGCTTTAATTCTAAACAATGAGGTAATTTTTTTTAACTTCTTTGCAAAGATCTACCCAACATGGAAGTTTTAGAAATTGGAGCCCAAAAACTCATGTTCAGTTTGACACTGAGAAAAATTTACTAACAATGGGTTGTGTGGAGCAAGTACATGTACATGTAGCTTTTGCACTTGCCTGCTGGACATAGCAGCACAGTTTGGCTCCACTTGCATCAATCCCTTATGGAAAATTGGATTGTATATTTCTCACTAGAGGAGAGGTTTGATTAATCAAGTGCAGAAATATTTGTTACAATGTTATTAATAAAGAATGATATTCGTGAGGTAAAATAAGAATAAAGAATGAGGTATTATTGTAAATATTTTTTTTATGTTAATAGAAAAAAGATTGTACACTATACCACAATTGAATTCTGAATAACCTTTGAACAATTGACAACTCTGACAATACAAAATCCCAGTAGTGGTATGATATACTTTTACATTTGAGGGATATACTCTTGTTTTTTTAGAAAGCTGAACATGGTTGTGCAATTGCCAAAGACAAATTCTTTTATAGCAATATTAGCACACTTTTTTCATGTGTTCTCTTCAATATGCTTCCAAAAAATACATTATTATTTTAATGTTTTTTTTTAATAGTTGTTTGTATAATTTTTGACATTTTTTGGCATTGCAGCAACACTGAAGCATCTCAGAAACACCCCAAACTTAAATGACTTTTGTGACTGTTGCTCTTTATTATGGATCTGTAGTAAGCTCTGCAAGAACTGCCTTTCTGCTAAGTTTTGAAAAACATTAAATAAGAAAATTGAGGTACATTTCTTAAATTTGTAGTCAAATGAAAATAAATCAGCTTTGATTTATCTTGTAGATGAGAGAGTCAGTGTGTTTTAGAGCACCAGAACTTCATCAAATATCATTCTTTGGTGTTATAGTTAGCACCTTAAAAACGGTTTGTGGTCTTTGAAGAAGCCCAAGCTTTATTACGGTTGCATTTTGATTTGTCACCTTTTTCCCTCTCTCTTATATATGTAGCATCTGAAGAACAGAAGAATACGAGTCGACGTTGCTGGACAACAACAACAGCAAGGTAAAGGGCGATATATGCTTACTGAAAATCTAAGCTCTGATAAGCCACCCACCTTTCTTATGAGGCTCCCACTTATAGAAATTTGATTCTCTATCTAGCACGCCCTCCCCCTTCTACTGCCTCTGTTTGATCGACATGGTACTTTAAATCTATTTTTCCAACGAATGTCGAAAAGTAGCTGCAATCTTCCCTATGGATTGGGATTGGTCCAAAATATTCGCGCCATTTTCACAATGAGTCAGTGCAAAACTGAAACCAATCGCGAGTGCGTCACCCGCATTCTCTGGTTTTTTTTTTTTTCTTTTTTTTTTTTTTTCACTTTGAGTTCCCATCTCCTCCTTCTGATCTTTTCTTTTGCTCTGATTTGCTATTGTGATTACTTTGGTCAGTTCGAATTAATGATACTCGATCAAAAAACGCTCTTGTTATCAGTTTGGTTTGATTTGCCTTTCAGTACAAAATACACTTGCACTTGAAAGCTTGTATTAGTTTACGTTTTGGATGTTTGTGAGGTTTTGATAAAAGAAACGCATTCTGTATACGGTGTTCGTGATATTAAGATGAAGAAAGATAAAGAAGAAAAGTGATGAATCGTATTTAGGCCCCTAAATATGAGCTAGTTTTTGATAAGACTCCTTCAAGTGACACTGCACAGTAATGTCCTACTTTTCCAGTCAGATATGAGAAGTATGCATCCTCTCTGAAATCATCTAACATATATTTTGAGTCTAAATATGACCGAAAAATAAAGAAACGATTTATCGTTGGAATCATGTCGAGAAATACCCCTTAACAGTTTCTGTTAATTTGTTGCCCTAAGGATGTCTTCTACACAACCCTTTTTACCTGTAACATTCAAAAATGTATGGCAGGTAATTCTTTTTTTTGTTCCTTTGTTTATTTATAGAACGCGAGCGCGGTGACCGGGATCGGAGTAATGAACCTGATCGCACAGATAGTGATTGGCGAAGCAAACCCGAACCTCCCCCAACCCAGAATGGTAACAACGATAGATATAACGACGATGGTGGATCCCGTGATCGTTGGGGTCCTCGAGGATACGACGGTGGACCTCGGGATAGATCGGGTTACCGAGGATATGACGATGGACCTTCTTGGGACAGATCAGGTGGAAGGGACCGAGGGTACGATGACGGACCTCGGGGCAGAGACCAGGGATACCAGGACCGCCGAGGAGACGATCGGTACGGGGACCGTGACAGGGGAAAGGGATTTGGCAGCAACTGGGATTATGGAGACAGAGACAGGTATGAAATGGTTTTAATGTACTAAATGCCGTGTTGCATGAAAATTCGCTTATTTACATCCTCCTGCCAGTAAATTTTTGGTGAATCCGTGTTCAGTCTCTCAGTAGGCTTTTGTTTCAACAACCTCGTGTTCTTCCTCGTAAAGCCCATTGCTTTTAAATCCAACATAGGCGAGACGACAGAGGTCAAGACCGTTACGATGGTGGCCGAGATCGCCCCGATGATCGACGATATGGAGATCGTTACGGTGGCGATCGGGGAGGCGGATATGGCCGAGACCGTTACGACGATCGCCGAGGTGGTGATCGTTATGGGGGTGATCGAGATCGTTACGGCGGATATGGCCGAGAACGCTACGATGATCGCCGCGGGGGTGATCGCTACGATGATCGCCGAGGGGGGGATCGTTACGATGATCGCCGAGGGGGTGATCGATACGATGATCGCCGTGGTGGCGACCGTTACGACGATCGTCGAGGTGGAGATCGGTATGGTGACAGAGATCGAAGGCGTGACAACGATGACCGCGAGAGAAGCTCATGGCGTGACTCCGACCGTGGTCGCGATTCAAGGAGCGACTTTGATAGGGACGAGAGAGAGCCTGGTAAGAGAGAAACCTTGATCTCTTTTGTTACAAATGTTACAGTGTTTTGTCGCAGCAAAACTTTGATGAAGTTTGTATTTATGAAAACAATAAATAGGGAAATGACAATGTCTTTCTCAGTTACACAAAATTAGCGAAAACTATACGGTCTCGCCTGCCCTTCTGACACTTGTATTTGAATTACAGTCAGAGAGAGGCCAAGGCTTCAGCTCCAGCCTCGCACTAAACCGGTGGAAGAAAACAAAGACGAAACTGTAACAGACAGTTCTGTGTTTGGCGGCGCCAAACCTGTCGACACGGCCGCGAAAGAGCGAGAAATCGAAGAGAAACTGGCCCGACAAAAACTTGAAGACGAAGCAAAATTGAAGGAAGAGAAAGAGAGACAGAGAGAACGACGAGAGCGTGACGAATGGCCACGAGGCTCTAGTGGTCGAGCGCGGCGGGACAGCAATCGGTCGAGCGACGGAGAAAGGGGAGGGAAAGATCGACGAGACAACCCGGACTTTCGCAGCCGGCGTGACAGCGCGAGGTCCAGTGACGAGGGTTTTCCAAGCAAGGCAGTCGAGCCCGCTTCTCGGGATAACTCTCGGGGAGGTGGAAAAGAGGCCAAGGCGGCACCGAAGGAGGCACCTAAGGATGCTCCACCTCCTGCTGTGAATGTGTGGACGCAGCGGATGGAGCAACAGAAAGCGGCATCGACGGGAACGACTGAGCCAAAGAGTCCCACCGAGGAGCATAGAGTGGAGATCAACGTTGACAGTAGCACCATGACAGTGACGTCTCCCACCTCTCCCACCTCTCCCACCTCTCCCACCTCTCCCACCTCTCCCACTTCCTCAGAGAGAAAGGGTTCCCCAGCAAACGGTCTGGCCCTCGAAAGGAGTTCAGAGAAGGCGGGGGTCCGCCAAAAGGCAGAGGCAGAGGGATACGCCCTGAGCGAGGAGAACGAAGCGAGAGAACTGACAGAGGCGACAGGGCAAGCGTGAATGGTCCGGACGGAGGTGGTAGAGGAGTCAAGAAGGAGAAGAGGGAACGGAGACCTGCAGAGCCTAAGAAATACGAGGAGACCCAACAACCGGCAAGTGATCAGATTATAAATTACTCTTGACCTTCCTTTGAATCAAATCGGAAAGGCTAAGGTGCAAGTCCTCACGGACGACAAATAGTATTCTTCGTTCAGCTCTGTTGCAAATGCTTTCCAAACGAGTTTTAAAATTTCCTTTTGTTACAGGAACCAAGTTTTCTCAAGGATCGCTTACAAGAAAGTTAAAAGTTATCTTAACAAGTATCGCATTTCTTACCAACAGGTCTTCCACACAAAGAGCAAATTTGCTGCTCTCTTGGATGATGAAGAGCCATCCGAACAGGACACACAAGAACAGTTAGACGCCGAAGACGAGACGTGATGACATCTCTCTGTTCCTTTTTTTTAATATTATTACAAGTTGAACAAATGAATTGCAAGCCCCAGATAAAAAACATTGGTGTAAATCGTTAGGTCACCCTTCTGCTTTACCAGGGCGCATGCTAATTGATGGAAACCGCTGGCGTTTGTTACGACGTGACCGACTTGATTTGGTTGTAAGCACGGACACATTAGGTAGACCAGTGCAAGCCGCATTTCATAAATTTGAACTTTAATATATTTTGGTGAGATTCTATGAATGAGAGGGTTCGACTTTGCATTTTTCTTTCCTTCGGTCTTAGTAGCTTTGATGATATTTTAAACTACAGGTTTCAATAATTATTTTGGACAACTTCGCTGCTACTAAGTTGTTTCTTTCCGTGAAAATGTTGTTTTTTCGATTTTTTTTTCTATTGAAGGTGAGATGGATTTAACCCTATTTTCTTATCTTGACTCGTTATGCGATCGCGTAGATTTGGATGAAATTACTTTTTGTGTTGGAAGACGCCTGTTTAAGTGAAGCTTTGTAAGTCTAAAGAGTTTACTTTCGTGATGTTAGTCTTAAGAGTAGGTTCATAATCGATGATTGCTGCTATTAATTAAGATAAAATGTGCACTTTGGTGCAGTTTTATTTTATTTTCTACCACAAAAGTGGTAATTGTGGAAACGGTTAAACGAGGGTTGAAAATCCGTCCAGTCCTCATGAAGTGTTTTTCTGGTCGTGGGGGAGGGTAGAGGAACCCTCTCAAACTCAGTGATCAAAGACTTCTTTTGTCGTTCGAAACCTCTTTTTTTCTTTTCTTTTTTTTTCCGTATCACTGAAGTCCATACCAGCTTATTTAAATACGATTACCTTCCCCAGTAAGAAGTTAAATTTATTGGCTCGGAGCAGTAATGAATGCACTTAACGATGGTGCAGTGATTTTAATAAAAAGTTATAGTCTTGTTCACCTTGACTTTCTTATGGTTTTGAACCTGTGCTAAAATTAGAAACTATCAATTATTCGCCACAGAGACACAGCGTAGCAGCACGTTTCCCGTTGATTTTTTGGCAAAGTAAGCCAGTTTGATTTACATGTGGATGACAGCTGTGTCATGTTGAAACTAATAACACGAGTGACAGGCTGATCAATTTTCATTTCCGGGTTTAAAAAAAAAGAGGGAATCTCTCGACTGGGTACGTCTCGTTGGCGAGGTCGGCGTCTATGAATCTATCGTCATCTCGGGTTTCTGGCGAATCAAGTCTTCACCAGATAGGGTATGAAGTCAAGGGCTGAACAGGAACTGGTGCGGTCATGTAGACCGTCAAATAAGAAACAGCTCAAACAAAGCGAAATTCTTGGAATTATTTAACAGTTATCCTAACCGAAAAGGCAAGGTCACTTTCAAACACAAAATCTGAAGGCCACTCTCAACAAGCCCTCCCGTAAATAGCATTTGATGTTGACTCGTGTCACTGCTAATGCCAAGGTCACGTAAGACGAAATAAATTAAATTCCTTCCCGCACACTTAGAAAGAGCTTATGGAACTCTTAGTTCACATTCTTGGCGCTCAAGCACGATCTTAGAAGTGTTATTTGTAAGTAAAGGGGGCCACGAAACGGTATGTACATCCTAAGAAATTTAAGCCGAATTTCCCAAGTGCGCCCGTTTGTCGTCCATTCTATCGTTGTTTGTCAAGTTCTTCCAAATTAGACACTCGTGTTACATAATGTTCTTCAAGTGGAAGGTGGCTTTGTAGGAGTGCGCAACTAGAAAGTTTCGTGACTCACCTCCTTAGAAGTTCCTGATGACATTAATTATTGAATTGATTGATAAATTAGCTAAATTATTTCCTTATTGAAAAGTTTAGTTCTCCGACCCCAGAGTGATCGAGCTCTGCACGCATTCAATAGTTGTTTTTTTTCTTCTCGCTTAGCGGCTAAGTCTGTAAGTGGCCGTTAGTTTACCAATAGTAAAGATTTTCCAGCGCCTTAAAAGATTGAGCTGTGGTTAGGTCAGAACTTCAATTAGTTTCATTTTAGCTCAGCTTTAGAGCAACAATTTACAATCGCTAATATTTAGCTACACACAGGGGCACTGTCTGCACCTATTAAAATTGCATCTGTTTCTTTGGAAAGTTTCCATGCGGAGCCTTATCGTACGTGCATGCATGGCTACAGATGTGCGTATTTATTTCTGCGTATTTTTCCTACCGACAAACAGAGGAAGCACTCTTTCTTGTTTCAGTCAGAGAAAGTGCGGATTCCTGTGGCTAACTTACTCACTCTAGCTCGAGGAAATTTTGTTATTTTATGACAAATCTTGTCTAAATTCGTAATTCCCGAGACAGCCCATGCAGTATGAATTAAAAGAGCTGAGTTAAATGAGCAATCAACACCGGCGACAATCCACCATTGTCTCTCGTATAAATATTTAGAAATCCATTTTAGTGCTTCTGACCTTTCCATTCGAATTCAACACATCGAGTTTTACTTTCTAAAAAAATTGCATGCGACATTGATATGGTTGTTGATGTTATTTTCTTTTTGATTTGTTTTTTTTGTTTTGTGTTGTTTTGTTGTTGTTGTTTTTTTTCACAGCCCTTACTTTTTCATAATAGTGCTTTCAATTACTGTTGTTAGTTTTTTTTCCTATCTTTCATTGATTGATCACAGAATCGTGAAAGGATCAGATCTAAGTCACCGTTTTCAATTTCATAATTATCCTGGTTTTCTGTCTTACTCAGCACACCCAAGGGAAGTAGAGATCAGTTTACAAATGCCCTGGGCCTCAGTGCATGGAACGCGTGCTCTTGCTTTGTACTGTTGCAACAAAATCCAGGTATTTAAATTCCGTCGATGGATCGTGTGGCATCTGAAACTTCGGTGGAGCGTGAGGCTGAGGTGAGTCATATTTTGAAATATTGAATTAAGTTTGTGTGAAGTGTTTACGATTATTATTTTAAAACTTAATCGATTCAAGGAAGATCGATGGTGGATTACTTCTCAGTATTACGTCATGTAGCTGATAGGGTCTTTTTCTTTACTCTTGCTTGGCAAGTGTCTAAGTTGATATACTTCAGACCTTCGAATTGAAGATCAATCTATTTGATTTTCACTGGTTGGCCTTCCATTTATACCCAAAAGTGCGTGAACAAGCCACACATCACGGCGCCTAAGACCTTCGCGCATTAGAGCGGCGTAACATAATTAATTTATTAATATCTCAGAGAACATAAAGGTTGTAAGACTGTTGTTAGAGTTCATAGTCCATTTCAAACAATTAAGTCTTATAACTGGCTTTCAAAGGAGTATCATATCATGGAAATCAACTTTAAAAACATGCTTAGCTTTGTGAATACTAACCAACATTTGCGGGGAACGTCATTCACTTAACCATTCGACGAGTTGTAGATGCTAACTACAGCACGTCACACCACAGTGATAATCTGTTGAGCTTAAATTTTGGTTTCCGAAATCAGTTCGTGAAACGTTCATATCGTGATTCAGGAATTTAAAGAGCGGTACGCTTTCATGCTTTCAATGCGTTTCGACCATCAGATGATTCGTAGATGCAACTTTGTGCGGAGAGGATTCCATTCGCTCGATCGACTTCAAAAGCGTGCAAGTATTGCGTCTCTTTGCAAAGAGTAACGAGCACGTCGCTCAGTCTACGGTCGGTTGTGTAACATGCAGCCTTAAACGGATTTCGTCATCGATGTATTTGCTTAACTGACCTGCATAAGCATCTTATTCATTTTCCTAACGGTAATGCTGTTCTGTAGATAGTTCCGGGTAGGTAGTTGGCATAAAAAGTTTGTTTGTTTTGTTGTTCGAATTGTAAATTCAAGGATTGAGGCTATCGTTCCCTTTTTTATACACTGAAATACATCACCAATGAATTTTAGTAGTAAGACCTACCTGTTTACACTGCGAAATAAACAAAGCAACCTTTCTTTAGAGTATTTCTTTTGTGATGAGATACGGTAATCATAAACGAATATTCAGTGGTCAAATCGAAGACAGAAGAACAACCAATAAGCCTGGTTTAATCTAAACAACGAAACTAATTTTGACGAGATTTCTAGTCATGCAGAAAATGATCTTCGAGGTTGGATTGGATGTTATTGGACAGAAAGATTACCGAACTAGAATTTCAGACGAGTAAATACAGGAAAATCTGAGTTTGTACTTCAAGAAGAGAATAAATTTCTCGTTGAGAGCAGTTAAATAAAATTATGATAAACAATGCAGCAACTACCTTATGGACACTGAATTTTGATGTATTTTTTTTAAGGATTTAAGGAAATCGATGGACGGCTTGAAATTTTTTTTCTGTATCAGTTGCAGTTTCGTTTCAACTTTGAGTATAATAATCTCAGAAGTACTTTTCGAGGAGGCTTCCCGAAAGCACCCGCTTGTTCCATTACGTGGCGCGCTTATTGAGTAAACTATCGATCCTTGTGTGGCTTTAAAAAATTATTTAAAATTGCAAGGGATTGACCTGATTCCGGCTCAGACAATCTGAGCTCGAGATCACCGCCGGCGCAAAACTTTTAGAGCGAGCGACGGAAATTGAACTTCATAGGCGAGCAAGGAAATACTTATCGGCTTTTGAGCTCACAGTGGGATAAACATAGGACATGTAAAATTATATATATATAATAGTACCTTTCTCTTAACAGTTCCCTTCGAGTTTGTCGAATTGAAATAGACTTTGTGCGAGGAGATGCAGATATTTTTGATGGGAAAAAAAAATTGTTGATTCATCCAATTTAGCTGGCGTGGCTTTGGTCAGTACTTCATAGAGGCATGTTTTTTATCATTATAATCTTTATTTATTTGGTTTTTCATTTCTGGGTTGCAGCTGGAATAAGTTGAAGCGACTTTTATGTTCAATTTCCCAATGTTTGTAAGTCTACGGGAAAATATTTTGAAGAAAATCGACTTTCTATTCAAGTGTCAAGGAAGTGATTCTCATTTTAATCAACGCATTAGTACTATCACACATGTTCAGCTATTTCTTGTTTATCCATCGTGCTTTCACATTCTAATTTGATTTTCTGTGCCCAGATTAATAGCTGGGTGACCAACAGTGCTTTAAACTTCATAATAGTGACGAGAAATGATCGAGGATAATAACCCTCTCTAAACAATATGGCACCCGACATCATGTTAAGTAGAGAATAGTTATCATCCTCGTAGCAAGAACAAGCAAAAGATGTTCCGAATTGAACTTGCCGCGATATTGGACACGTATGCAACAAAATCATCAGTGGAATGATTGTTTCAACTTCCGTATCTTAAGACGTGTGTGTATCAAAGGCGGTAGGGGAGGGGGGGGGAACACGTGGACCATACTATCATGGTCTATGATTTGGAGTTGTTTTTTGCCTGTGTGTGTGTTTGTTACTATTTTTTCTGTTCTACTTCGGTTTTTGTTTAATCTGTTTTGTACTGTTTTGTGTTCTTGTGGTTGTGGTTTTTTGTTTCCAATTCGAAAGTGAAACAGGAAAAGACGAAAGGAAACTTTGTCACATCAGCAAATGAAATATTTATTTTTATTTTTGATTTGTTTGATCTGGTTTAACCTCGATAACGTTTTTGTTTAGAAGTCTCATGTAAATATTCAGCCTTCATCAAATTTAAACTACTACTTCGCCAAGTTCGAGGAAGTCTGTCGATGGATGAAATCATCCTAAATCATTTATCATATCACCTTGTGAAGCATTTCCCGTGCTGGTGTTGCCTACGTGACAGTCATTATGATCATTTAAGTTTTTTTTTCCACTCAGACTGAATATTTTTGCAAACTGTTAATTATAATATATGATTAAAAGATTAGGCGAAACAACTCAAAATGATAACTTTTTTTTTTCTTCTTCACAAGATAAAAATTACCGTCTTATGTCACATTAAATGAACTTACGAATGATCGTATCAAAAGAACATAAGGCATTTGGTTTCGGATAGCTAAGACAACCTTCTCCTTCAAGACAACTTTGCGGAGCGTTACTATCGCAGTTGCGAGGTGTAAAAGGTGTTCTATGTGGCACGCAAGCCTCTCTCAGGTCAAAGAAAAGGATCCGCAATAAATATTGTGTTTTTATGGCAATTTGACGGCAGTCAGGTATTGTCGATGGCGTTGATTTTGCAATTAAAGACGCTTTCTTCGAAAATCGAAGCCAAACGCTCCCAAATACATCTTAGTACTTCACCTTGTATCTTCTCAAGTCGATGGAACTAAATGAACTTTAACTTTTGCACTCCTTTGCACGGTCTATCCGCGATTTGGCCTTGCCTTGGGTTCACAACCATTCTCCTGAAAGCGCCAGTTTTTTCCTTTTGGCGAGTTTGGTCTCCGCTGACCTAAAACACGCAGGCTCCGGTAACAATTCGAGTTATCTCTTTGCGCGAAAGTTGTCTTTGTTGAAAATAAAGTGAATAAATGCCAAAAGAAATCCACTTACTTGGAAATTAAACTGCTAATGGTTTCAGTTGATGACAAAATTTACATACAAAATTGAATCCTTTTTCCAGAATATGAACTTCCTGTGCGGATTTATATCCACCCCATTTCATATTTTCCTGTCCTATTTTTACTTCTGATGGTCGCATTTATTTATGTTCCAGCGTGATTAGTTGGACACAACAGTACACGTCACTGTCTTGGTAGAGTACATAGAGTCTTTGCAGAAACAGTAAAAAGAAAAAAAAATTGTAGTCCATACTCCCCGGCGGGGAATCGAACCCCGGTCTCCCGCGTGACAGGCGGGGATACTCACCACTATACTACCGAGGACTACGCTGGATAGGAAGGAAATTTATATATAGTTAAAATATATAATTACAAATAGTCGTTCTGCTGACCAATAATTCGCGTATTCGTATCCGGAGTGCAGGTTTCAAATCTTTGCCATCTGGAAGGTCATCTGAAAGAGTTTGTGGCCAGTAAAACCAGTTTATGCTGTACAGTTCCTTGATTTTATCAATTTTCTTTTCGTTGTATATTTCATGCTCTTTGCTTTTTCAACACTCCCTATTTCCTTTGAACCGACACGCAAAGGTAAATTCAACTCATTTTCCGGTCAAAACAAACATGGACGCGCGTAATCGCTCGTTTTAATCCCGTTCTTGATTTCAAGAAAGTTAAAAACGGCACTGGTGTTTTCACTGCTCACATTCATGGATTCATGACACACCTGGTATGTACGAAACTCGTGCTGTCTGACTAAATGATGTCTGGTGTTTTCTAATCAGATCGCCGGTAGTTTTCATCAACCGTACTTTAGTCATACTCTTTGCCGATTCACCTGCACTGCATGTTAACCACGTCGATTTTCTGTTGTTTTCCAGTGTATTTGCGTTGACACGGCACATGTAGCCGTTTCACCAGCAGAAATTGTGAATCAAGCACCAAATCAGGTTTGTAAGGGCTAAAAACTTTACAAGACAATGATGTAAAAATTTATTGTAATTTGTAGTAGTCTAAGAGTAAATCTCAAACTCCAAAAATTATAACTGAGGTCTACGACTAACTTAATCCTACTTTGAACAAGGTGGTCTGTTACCGTGCCTAATTGGATTTGTAACATACATTGATATGGGTGCCCTGCTGTCAGTTAGAATTTAATTTTCTTATTTATTTTTTTTTGGTTATTGATTGATGCATTAAAAAACTTACTGTAGTTTGCTCGAGGAGGTCACATTTTAATTAACTTTATACATACTGAGGTTAACACTGTGAAAGACTATCATTAATGTCTCTGAGTGATATATTTTCAAAGTTGTTTGCTTCCAATCTTTAAAATGTGTTGGTTAGAAAGAAAAAATCTCAGTTGGTATGAAATGAAAACATACCATGGAAAGTGCTTGAATGATTTTTGATCAACAAACTCACTCAATTGCTGTGATCACTCATTCTTTTTTTTATGCATGGCAGCTCACGAATAAAAGTCATTCCAGAACATTCCCGATTAAATAATTTCTAAATCTGTCATAGAAAAGAGGCTTAGCTATGAATGCATAGTAGGGTATACTCATGGTGATTTTTTTTCATTGCTAATAGCAAATATCTACAGATCAGGGAACAATGTCATTGGAAGTTTTGAACCTTTGCCAATCAAGAATGGTGTTTCTTCCAAATCCTCTGGAATATAAGCTTCTTAACTTCATTGGTAAAGTGATTTATGAAATGTGCATGTTTTGAACTGAGTATAAATGGTATTCTATGCATACTCATGGTGTTCTTCTTCACGGACAAAGCTGGGCCACATTTTTCAAAACTTTGTGTATTGATACTTAAAGATAATTGTGGATTAAGACTTCACGGAAAAAATAATGAGGCTACAATGATCCTGGTCTATATCTGATTTTCCTTGCCTACAATCTGTCGCAAGCTATTCACTTGCATGAGGCTCTCAAGGTTGTAAATCCTAGCAGTATGCAGGATGCATATCAGCCCTTTAACTCCCAGCAGTGATTCACTTGTAACTTCTCTCTACAATATACATCCACTATCCAGCAAACAGATAATGAGAGCACTCAAATGTATCAGGTAGAAGTTGTTATCTTGATCTAACACCAATTCTTGCAAATAATTTACAAGAAAATGTGTAGCAGCTAGTAGGGAGAATTAACAATCAGATCTTGGGGGTTAAAGGGTTAAATTTGTGTGTATTATTGCAATATAGTCTCTATAGCTCAGGAGTGTGGGTATCCAGAGATTCTTCACAGGGACTCAGAATTTTTGTTTGTGCCATGTTTATGCTGCAAAAAAAAAATTGCCTTCCTTTAGCAATGGCTGATGATAAGTCAGCCTCCATAGTTCAGGTGTCAGCTCAGCAAATTTATAGCATACCTTAAAACTATCTTGATATGGTTCAATGAAAAAGAAATATCTTAGGTCAACTGAAAAGGTTCCTCTGCCATACTATCTTGTCTATTTATTATTCCCTCAAAGAAGCCAAGGAAAGGCTTCTTTGATCACTGCATACTGGTGGTGTATGGTGTTTTCATGCACTTAATATTGCATTGTGTACTTGATAACTTTTTTTTTAATATATGGCTCATAATCATTTACTGTTTGTATGTTTGCATTTAGGTAAGGGATTTGATGAACTTTCCAAAGTGTATGTGGCCAGTCATTGTCCTTCAAAATCACTAGTTGTTGTGAAGCAGACTAATGTTGATGTTCAAAATCCTGCACAGCTGGAAGATTTAAAGGTCTGTATACAGAATTTTATCACTGTCATCACAGCCTTCACTGTAGGCAGAGTCTCCCTCCCCAGTGTCTCTCTGGTTTGTGCAGCTTTTTTTTTTGTTAGTCACTGTGGTAGATCTGGAACTCCCTGATCAGTCCATAAGAGCAAAAGGTTATGCAGCTTGGGGTTGAAATGATAAAGTAGAGGCTCTGAGGCCCAAAGCCATACTTTAAAATCAAAATTTATAGAATAGAGAAGTAGGTTTTGGCTCCCCAACCAGTCCATTTTGTTTTCTTTAGCTGATAGTTTTATTGTATAATCTTATGTAATTTGAAACCCCCATTTTGAATGAAATCAGAAAAGCTTCACAGACCAGTTTAAAGTTACTGGAAACTCTCAGAAAGGAGCCCTTTAGGGCACTTAATGGACAAACTGTTTTTGGTGCTGTAGTTTTTTTTGTAGCTGTTCTTGTTTTGTAATGTTATCTTGGAGCTGCTAAAAAACTCCTGTCTGGTCATATGGGGCAAGCAGAGTTCTTTGCCAATGAAGTGACTTTTCTCACAGCCTCTCCCTCTCAGTAAAGACATTAACAACAAATATTGCAACCAGTCTCAAATAGGGTGCTCAGTTGTAGCTAATTTTCTAGCCTTGTGGTAGAAATAGCATTTTATTGTCCAGTGGTGTTCTTTCAGATACTTTCGCAAAACAATGGAGGTCTGAATCCCATGTATACCTAAGAAAGTCTAAATACTCCCTTTTAGTAACATGTTTTCATTTGTTCTATGTTACCTCTGCTAAAGTTTTCAGTTGTTGTGCTTTTTACATTAAATCTGTCACAGAATGAAGTGCAAGTGATGTGGTCCCTCTGTCACCCAAATATTCTGCCCTTTTACTGTTCATTTGTGACCAGGCATGAGGTGTGGCATGTCCTCCCTCTAATGCAGTTAGGTGAGGGTGTCAATTACTTTGTATGTGCTTGTGATTACAATCAACCTAAAAATTAACCCATGAGTCATCAGAGCCATTTTTGTTACCACTGACATCAAAATTATAAACAACCAGGCCCTGGTTTTTCGAAGGTTGGATAACAATTTATCCACTGAATAAATCTCTATCTGGTGGACAGCGCAGTACATTTTGCATCACTTATCCACTGGATAGTGATTTATCTGTTGGATAGTACTATTTGCATGCTATATGACTGGGCCCTGATTCATATCGGAGTGTATTCATATTCTCATGATAATTATTATCTGAAACATCAATTTGACCAATTGCTTTTTGTAGTTTTGATCTAATCATAAAGCTAACCCAACCTTGATCAATCTCCCACTTGCTTAAATCCTACACCAACCTTTGCATCTGCCACATGCAATTTATAGACAGTCCTTCAACAGCCCTCTATGGTCCAAATTTATGCAAGTTCTGTGTTGATGAAATGATTTCCTATACTTGGCAAAGGTAAATAATCATGTTCACACTTTTGTTCCCAGGATCATGTTCTGATATTTTGAAGACAAGGTTTCATGATGGTATGGGTGAAATTATTGTTGCTGCAATTCTCTATGAGGTCCTGCAAGGTTTAGAGTATCTTCACAAGATGGGTATCATCCACAGGTATACTTAATTCTTTTAAGAAGAAAGTTTTGAGATCAGCTGAGTGTCAGAAGTATTCAGCAATTTCTTTGTTGCTACTTCTTTACCACTTGCTCAAGTAATCAAATTCAAACTAAAAACCAATTGGCACTTGGTGCCTTGAGTTCTCCCATGGTTCAGGAAGCTTGCTCATTTTTTCATTGAGTTCTCAGCCACTCAAAGCCATAATATATTCTTCTTTTTCTTTTGGTCTGTTGAGAAGGGTGAAACCCATTTAAAATTAAATTTGTCTGTGTGGTCGGTGTGACAAATCTGTCCATTTTATCTCTGTTAGGGCCATCAAAGGAAGTCACATTTTACTTGGTGCAGATGGAACAGTGTGCTTGTCAGGTTTGAGGAAATCTATCATGCTCCTCCAGGAAAGCAAAAGTTCTAGGGTTGCTCATCATTTTCCAGCACATGCAGTTGCTGTTTTACCATGGATGGCACCAGAAATTTTGCAACAGGTACGCTATGTAGTCTAAATGGAACTATATTTTTGTTTATTGAAAAGGCTTCAAATACCCTGTGACTGAATGATTAGTTTCCAGGACCTGAATGGAAAGGGCCAGGTTCAATGTCTGGCCTGGGTCAGTATGTTTGTTCTTTGGTGGGACCTCCCCTCCTAAACCAAAATCTAATTTCTCAGTAAGGTATCACTGTTGAATCAAACACAAGGCTCATGAGAAATAAGGAAGTGGTCACAACCTTGAAAAGCTTTTGATTTTTAACAAGATCCTCCATGTCTGCACCCTGGGAAATGTATCAAGAACAATGTAGAGAATGCGCATGCTGGTGTTAGGGTGTAAAGGGTTAATGGGTACCAGTAACATGTGAGGGAAAGGTGAGGAAATGCTGAAGGTAACCTATGATAGAACTCTCACATGCGAAGTAACAGCACAATGAGTCGCTCCACACTGGGGAAATTTTGACAAGCTGAGCACTGTGGGTCATTTTGCTTGTGGACAGACTAAACGCTTCTTACTACTTTTATCATTTAAAGCTTGCTGCTAATTTTTTATTTGATAAACTAAAATTTTCTTACTGTTTTAATACCCTAACTGAGTGTTCATTACTTTGAGCTAGCAATGAATGAAAGTTTTGATGTGTCATCATTATCATCGCAGGATCTTCAAGGTTATGATTACAAGTCTGATATTTACAGTGTTGGCATAACTGCTATACAGTTGGCCAGAGGAACTGTTCCATACATTGGAATGCCACCCACCAAGGTACAACTGATATACATTCTGATTACACTCACACGAGACAATCAAAGTGAAAAGTTTATATAAAGGTTGAGTCAGTCATTCCTCTAATGTTCTCCTCCTGTGACGGGTCAGTCAGTATTCTTGTATACGCATCCTTATACGATCTTAACATGTGTACCCTGAAACAAAGGGTTCTAGAAAAAATACCTGTGCTATGTCAGATGCAAAAACCACTCAAATATCAGTCTGGCCAAAAATATGTGGGAACGTATTCCTCATCTAGTACAGCAACACAATACCCCGAGGAAAGGGTAAACTAACCTAGTTGCACGACTAATCATAAAGAAAAGTCAGTGATTGTAATGATATTTTGCAAGGAGTTGGAATGCCAAAATTACAACAAGGGCATTTTCACGCAGTTTTAGTCCCTTCATTCATGGTTTTCAGTAAGTTTTAAAGTAAGCGGGAAAAGTATAAAGTAAGCGGCTATTATGGAAGTTCGATTTGTATTCTAATATTACTTGTGTCAGAGAAAAAAGGCGGCGATTTCGCTTGATATATATGGCAATTTTGCTGTTTGCCGACTTTTATTGCAAACCCCTGTTTGAAGACGAATAGTCTAACAAAGCTTGACCGTGTTTTATCGCAGGTATTGTTGGAGAAACTGAAAGGTAGCACTCCAAAGCTGTGTGACTCACTGGTAATGAATGACGTGGACACCTCGGCACAGTTGACTTCAGCTACCGACTCGGGTTTCGGCAGCGACCTCCCTTCCGCCGGTGAAGGAAAAGAGTCAAATCAAGTCACATTCCAGGGCCTGTTCTCCCTTGCTTTTCAGCAGGTGGGTGAAAGTAGACCGACTGCCATCAGTTAGAACTTGCAAGCTGGACGTTTTAGTCCATGAATAGTCAATTTTACAGTTGTGTGCTGGATTGCCAAGCCTTTGAACAGGTGTGAGGCTAAGGGTGACCTTGCTATGATACAAACCTTGCTGCTTTTCAAATGAAAATTACTTTGTTATCATGCTAACTAGATACTGGTCTCTATCACAACAAGGTCACCTTCAGCCTCACTCCAAATCAAAGGCTTGGCAACTAGGTGCACAACTGTAAAATGGCCTATTGGACAGGTCGGCTCTGAGCATTGACAGAGCGGGATCAGTCCGTTACATACTCTTGCGCGTGCTGCCTACGAATGGCACCAGTGTTTTTAGACGCTAAGGAGTACATACGAAGGTGCAAAATGATTTTCAATCCCAAGAGAGCACATCTCTCATGCCTTTAATCTAAAGAAATGGAATGTTAATTTCTATTTACGCTGATACATAGTCAGACGTGATAAATGGAAAGCTCCCAGCACGTTCTGTATGCATGTTGAAATGTGTGATATTTCTATCTTGCATCGGCACACACAACATAACATTAGGGAGGTAGACACACAAACAGATTGCAGTGCAGTAAACTTTTTATGACGACTCTTCCTATGAAAAAAAAAGGAAAGTTACTCCTCCCTGTCAACGGGCTTTTGACACTGAATTTTAAATTCAAAAGCTTGTGGGTTGTGAATTTGAATTTCAAGGCGTGGTTCTGTCAGTGAAAAATGATTGAAATTCATTCCATGATCGTGACCTGAACAAAGCCTACAGTGCAGGCGTATGTTTTGAACTAAAGCATGAATGTGCGTTCATGAAGCATGCTACGTCTGACGAAGGACTCTTCACGGTGGCCAATTTACGTTATCAACGTAGTTGATAATCCTAAATAACCCTTTTATACTCCCCCATTGACGCAGCACCACAGCTTCTTTAGAAACTTACGCCCTTTACAATTTTTTGAGTCAAGTTTGTCGCTCTGCCTTCTTTTCACAGGTTGTTGACTCTTGCTTGCAAAGAGATCCTTCGTTAAGGTAAAATGGCACCTTTTAAGTTTTTGATACCTCTGGTTGAAAGAATAGGAAACCTTGCTTCCATTGGTAGGACACAAGAAAGATAAAAAAAGAAAGAGCAATCGATTCCTATCGCATTACTGCAAAGATCGCTTTCATATTCGATTCCTATTTCCTTAGCGAAAACTGGTATTGATTTTGTTTTCCTCTGATATTAAACTGAGATATTTTGACGAATATTTCGCTGGCTTTTTAAATATGTTTTGAGATATAGAGGCACGAAACACGGCCAATCATAAAACAAAGTCGAGGAAATAATTAGAGCCCTTAGTTGTATCGATGTAAGTATGTGCACTCAACCGGCCTAAAGCGCGGGAAAATGTTAGTGCCCTAGTCATTATTGGTTGCAGCTGTACTTCTGATTGGTTGAAAGGGCGGTTCGTTGTTTGTCGACCAATCACAGAGCGTGACTTCTGTTAGTGAAAAAGACCGCGGTTCTTTCAGTGAAAAATGACCGAAATAACACCAATCACAGAGCATGATTGATGCAAAACAATTTCATCTCGCATCACTTTCCTTATTCGATTGAAAACTGTTTCTACGAAGAAATTCTCGGATTACCGATACTACAAGTTGATTTTGCACGCAGAAACAACCACAACTTTCCTCTTATTGACAGACCAACAGCTCCCAGCTTGGCATCTCATGTGTTCTTCAAGCAGGTAAACAAATTCATAGTGAATGGTTATGAAGAACTGCGACAGCTCAGAATTATTGCAACATTTTTTGTTAGTGGCCTTTGAAGGAAGATCATCTCGCGTTGTCGCGAGCTAAGGCTTAAAGACAATGCCGTTGGGCTGGGTTCAAAGTCGTTTCTTGGCACGTAGATCGTAGATACTAAATTCGCCTTGTTCTAAAGCCATGTCTTTTGGATGGAGATGGACACCTGATCAACCGAGACTTAAATCGTGCGCGTGGCACGTTTTCTGCCTATAGAGGAGAAAAGATCTCTGTAAATTAACCAGACTAATGCTAAAATAAAGAAAGGTTTTCTTAGGCATTTCAATTTTCTTTGTTTGCAGGTGAAGCGGAAAGCGAAGGAGCTTTTGCCTGATCTCCTGTCTTCCGTTCCATCGCTCGCAAACTGTGAGAGAGATAAACGCATTGGTAAGACGGATCATCTGTGCTCATTCTTGCTTAACTTTGCACTGAAATAGTTCCTTTAACTAACCATTTACACTCTAACATCAATATCCATACTCTCCATACTCTTTTCGATACGTTTCCTCAGGTACTGACGAGGAGGATTCGTCTACCAATCAAGAGCCTCTTTAGTTAGTGATCAGTTCATTTTTGATTTAGAGACGATATTGTAGGACGAAATTAGATGCTAGTTACTCTCAGGGTTTAAGGGGATAACATATGAAAGATCATGCATTACTTGGTGCTTAGAATAACCAAGGAAATAATCGAAGTTAGGCGGTCATTGATGAAGTAGCCATTGATGTCGAAAAGCGTACCTCGACTTTGATTTTCCTTGCAGACCAAGAAAATGCCACTGCGGGTGCAAGTGAAGATTTAGGAGCCATCACACTTGATGAGTGGACATTTTAAACTGCCACCGTTTAGAAGGTAACCTGGAGGATGACAGCTTTGGAGATGTAGAAAAGAATTGCTAAATTTCGTAAAGATCGACGACCCTTTTGCGTCGTGTTTTCAAACTGGGTTGTGGAGGTTCATTCGCTAAGAGATACAAGAGACTGAGTACCACACCGTTCACTCCTGGACGAGGAGATACTGGGCCTGAAGTCAAAGCACGAGGTTCCCTTGGTATGAAGCGCGGATGACTTTCATAAGGCGCGGAGATATTTCCGTTGTCGCGTGTTTGAAAGTTTTACCGTTCTGGAGATTACAGACAAAACTGAGCCTTAATTTGATGAATTGAATCAACAGAAAGGATGAATCCTTTCCTTTTGCTTGCAGTATCAGGCTGAAACTTTAAGTGCTTACATAGTACAAAGATTTTCAAGTTTGAAATAAAACACTGTTTCGAAGCTACACGTCTTACAAATGAAGTTTTTTTCTCTTTTAAATGCCTTAGGTGTTGGGATCTATCCTGTTATCCTGGGTGTTTGCTAAAATAGAGGAAAAGGGATAAAAGTGTAATGAATGTGTGGTGGTTTATGCGAGGAACTAGTCACGCTAGAGCCGAACATGCTTCAAACATATACGGAATAGCTCCAAGTCTCGCGGAGAAATACACATGAAGATTTATCAATATTGGCTATGGTTAGACACGGGCTGGCTAACTTATTTTTCATGAATTAAGTGAGAAACTGTGGTGCTGCGTCGGTGGGGGGTAGTATGAGATTATTTGGTTCTGTCATCCGAGTTGATGATGGAAAATGTTCCTGAAGCTCACGCATTAGCCCTTTGTTATTTTTATGATATTTCGGTGCAATCAATCATTGAGCAAACTTCATTATAAGCGACATTTTCTTGTTGAACTTTCTCCCATTCAAATATTGTGCTTGTTAATATAAGACAGTGTTTGGGGAAGGGAGGAGTGTGTAAATGACTGTAAAAGCGTTTCACCGCTTTTGTCGAACGAAGAATCTTTTCAGGTTAAACAATCGAAACCAAAACAGAAATTAACAGAAATAAAATGGATGCTTCCTCTCCACACAAAATTAGTAATAAACAGCAGCGGCTAATTAGCCTAAAAGAAGTTCTTTCAGTTTTTATCTCTCTTTCAATTCCACGCTGATATCAGCGAATAACTTAAACCAATATTAGAATAATTGAAAGCAACGCAATACTGCTATACCAGATTCCATTCGGGTGAGATTTAAGCCTAAGGCTTCGTGCGTAAGACTTCACAAAATCCTTAGGTCTCCTCCCATCTATCAGAACCCTTTTCTTGCGGCGATGTCTTTACTTCGTCAAAAAGGAAAGAAATGGGAATTCAGCAAATCCATGGTTTGATTCAAGGTTGGTTGTCTTGGACAAGCCCAAACATTTGTCCGTTTAAATTCTAAGCTAATATACAGAACTCGAACGATATAATTTTGCCTACATATTTTATGTTCTAAATTTGTGATGATTATCGTAAAAAAAAACAGATTAAACGATAAATTACGAATAAAAATTAAGCGCGATATAAAGGTGGTCTGAGCAGAATTTTTGGTTTAATTAATTCTAGTTCGAGCTCTAATATCATTATGCTAATGTATTTTATGCATAATAAGTCGGTGGTCTGTGAGAGAATGAAAGACGTGCTTGGCATAATGAACATAGGTACAATAAACTTACTATTGTCTGAGTTATAGGGCGGAAAAATAAAATGCGCTTTAACTCGAGTCTTCAGGCTGTCTCTTAGCCTCTATATCCTTCCCATCTACCTAGTTTCCAGGTTCTTCCTGGCCGGAATGTAGAGACAGCCAGAGAACGAGGTTAGATGTTTACAATTGAAGTTGGCCAAAAAAGTTATTAAAAATGAAGACAGGTGCGATAACTTCTGCTGATAAATGATATGCAGTGCTCGGAATCTAGCTAGTAATCGAGGAACGAACGAAAACAATCAGGTGACCAAGTTATTTCCCAAATGATCGATTGCTTACAAATTTTGACCCAACTCATGTCCTCGAGGAAGCCGTCGACCACCCTCTTGGATAAAGGACTGGTATGAAAGGAATTTTTAAAAATACCAGACTTCATTCCTTGTACTTAAGAGAACGTTTATTCATTAAGGAAGCAGCAGACCGCTCTAAACAAGAGTCTTTTAAAGGCTGTTATGTAAAGAATTTTGATAGTCATAAGAAGCTTCAGCAATTGTACTCTAATGAACGACCATGGAATTTCTGTGTTAAATCAGTAACAAAAGTTCGCTTGATTTGAACATGGAGGACATGGAAGAAATTTTTAGTATCTACATAGGCTAATTGATGTTAGATACCAATCTTCACCAGAGTTACGGGCTGAAGCAAGCATTATTATTTTCCTCTACCATTAAGTATGGTTTTCTTGACGGTTATCATTCACTACTGAGAGGTTTTGACTCGCTATCATAACTCGCATCCTATTATTTATGACATTACGCCAAGGTTTCGAAAGGAAAAAAATGAGATGAAACGCTGTTGATATCTTATGTAACTATAGCGTGGATGTGGGTCTAGATTACAGAAAAAAAAACTAATATTCTACACCTTTGATTTCCGCTTCTATGAAACCGCAGAAGCAACATTTCCCAAGCTTTTGCCGAGTCATTCGATCAGGAAAAAAGTGTCCTATGACATAACATTTTGCGTGTATCAAATTATAAATATAAAGAACAAACTAAAAGAAAAGCTTAGAAAGACATCACGAACGAATGTGAGCTATTTACACAACATAATTTAGTAATTTCTTTCGAAAATAATTTAAACTCATTTTCTTCATCCCAACTCGCTTTCTTTTGCCGATGTTTTCTTGTTATATTTTTCCCTGTTTAAAATGAAGGTTAAGTTTAAACAAATAAATATTCAATTCTCTCGTCAGGCTTTACGAAAATATTTTAAAATCCAATTACTGATAATCCGTAATTTTAAATTGTTACGTTGCAATGAACTCCAGGAGAGACGAGGTAACAATTTTCCCCGCTGTGTGCGGAAAATATTTCTCGTTTTGAACTATCCTTTAAGTTCACAAATTCGATGTATTCTTGTCTGTTGGTGATTATGCTTCCTTAGAAATAAACCTACCATCCATTCTTGAAAATTTCCGCCTCCCAAAGTGAAAAGCCTCGTAGCCATAGCAAGAATATTCATTTCCACAATTGCAGTGGCGCCACTGTCGTACAGAACTCCATTCGGGTTAAACATTACGGGCTTGCTTAAAACTTCGCGCAGGTACGCCGATAGAGATCTGCGATACTTCGTGCCTGCGAAATTCATCAACGTGTCTGAGCCATAATCTGTTAAATCTGATGCTAAGTAGACCTTGTTAATGCTCAAAGCGTCCCGCAAGGTCTGCACGCGGTTTGCAAGTTTTTCCATGCACCGTTTTGTAACGTTCGCGCCTTTGCGAGCTATATGTCTCTCGGAACGAACATGCACGCCTATGAATCCTTCATTCAAATTCTCTCTCACGAATTTTTTCGCCAGCTCGACGAGGTCGGAGTTAAATTCTAGGTCGACCGGACGAAGAGGCTGCGTTATGGATGGGTCCAAAGGGAAGTGAACTCTTTCTGGACCATTCCCCCTCCACTGAACAATGCCAACGCATTTAGCTCCTTGAAGAACATTATCCTCTAAATCACTAGCGGTCCTTATGACTTCCGGATCAACGCAAATATAACGTCTTACTTTGAACTGTATCTGTTTGCTAAGGCGTGAGTGCTTTATAAAAGGACAATCCACCCAGCCATTACGTTCTCTAGCCTCTTTATAAGTGGTTGCAACCTTCTCTTCAGTTATCCTGTACCATAGAGCGGTTACTCTTTGGTAATTTTCATCGTGGAATAGAAAGTGTACCACGATATTGAATCTCTTATCGCAGTGGGATTCGAGGTCACGAAAGCTTCTCATAGTGCTGTATCCTCGAGACTCTAATTTGGAGTTTAAGTCGTCCAAATTGAAATACTCGCTTAGCAAAGAGTATGTAATGTGCGGAGGATTCTCAGGCTTGTGAAAATTATGACTTACTCCCGATGATAAACCGGACATGCGAGAATTATTTACATATGGAACGACCAAAACACGATTTTTGCTCTTCGCAAATGAGGCTAAATCCAAAAGGTTACTCGTCGCTCTGCCTAACTGCTCATAATAACGGAAAACAAACAAAAATTTTCGTCGTGAACCTGGCAGCCGCGGTGACAGGTTGCCTTCCATGTTTGTTAATTCAATGTGTTTTGTTTCGATGTCCGGTGAATTTTGCGACTTATCAGCTGTTACAAACTCATTTTTTTTCCATTCGTCGCCGTGAACCTCAAAAACTTGCTTCACACGCGTGACAGAGCCTGTTTGTGTTAGTCGAAGAAGGTCGGTTGTTACGAGGGAATCATCCTTGCCAGAACTGATCTTGAGTTCATTATGATAATCGTGGATATGCAAGCAGATAAAACTGCCGACAACGTATAAAATAATAGAAGTTAGCAGTAAAGATAGACATTTCGTCCTCGTTCTTGCCATCAAAAATCTCGATATTAGATTTCTCCTCGATAAAGCCATGAATATTGAAGAGAGTTAGCAAACAGGAGAACTGCGAAATACATTTGCTTTCACTTTTCATCGACGATTTTCTGTTTTGAATTGGTCACGGACTCGCTATGCTAATACAGACTCCCTGAACAAAACAGCATTCCAACTGACTTTCCCTTTCCATATAGAGCCAGAACATACTGGGAAACCACAGGCCTTTTACAGCGGGTGGACAAACCAAGTATGGAAGTCGCTGCATTGAAAAATATCAAACCTTGATGAGGTATATGAATCACAAAAAGTCGTAGACAAAGCTTTAGCACTTGACGTGAAGGCCCAATACTAAGTGAATTTCCTTGACGCGGTCTTACGTGTTGAACGCCAAACAAATCTTCCAATAGTCTATTTTGGTTGGGTCATCTTGGTGCTACCCGTGGATTCTTCGTATAGTCCAATATCAATGAATTCTGCGGGAGATTTTAGTGTCGCTCAGCTGTCAATGATGACACTGCTCGAATGCAGATTACTTCGTGCTTCGCTACGCTCAGTTGACGAGCACAAAAAAATCACGTGCTTGGAGATGAAGTACTAAAGAGTCTGAAATTTTACGCTCTTTCTTTTCGCTCTCTAAAACAACTTTGCGGTGGTGAGTTTCTTAAAATAATTTCCCAATATATCTTAAATAGATCTCATAAAGATTGCTTGTAGCGATAAAGGAAATGGTCAAATTTCTTGTTTGCTATGTAAACCGACAGACATTGGTTGCAGCTGCCACGAGAAATGAGTCACTTTGCATTTTAATTCGCTTCAGGCGAATCGTCCTCCTTCTGTCTCTTCTGAAGGCGGAGAAATCGAAATTCATACCGCTCTTTTAAATCGGATAATTATTCGACGACGGGAATGAAAAAGCAAAAGAATGGTTTCAAGGGCTTTCAATACCTTAAGGACCGCATGCGAGGAAAGATGGTTTTTACCTCAAGTGAGAGCTGTCAACACTAAATTATAAGGGACTGCTGCGTTGACAGTTTAAAGCGCCCAGCAATATTCGTTCAAAAACGTATTACAATAATAAACAAATTTATTCTAAATAGCCCCGAAGCCATAATATTTAGAAGAAAGACGAACGAACTTAAATTAGACAACACCAATAAGTCGTTCGCGAGAAATTGCAAGTCCGCGGAAATCATACACAGTCACGACGTAAAATTGATTCTGTTTTCATAAAGTTTCGGTAGTTTTGCAAAATGAAATTCTCGCTAATAATGACGAGCCGTATAAGTGAAGTCTTTATCGAAAAATCTGAAAAACATCACCGAGTTACGTTGACAGCTTTCACTCATTCTTAAATAAGTCTCCTCAAAATGACATTTTCCTTGTTCTAAATTTAATTTTGTACACATTTAGTTTTTTTTCGTCTCAAACATTGCCTGTTGGAGTTGTAATTTGTCTTTCGCACGCAAACCATCTTCGTAAAAATTTTAAAAAACTATAAATCAATCAATGGTGAGGTATTATTTTGTCTGAATCTTCGAGAACGAAGTAATAGTTCCGCTGTTTCCCAGTGCGTACTTTGACATTGAAGAATTTAATTTTCATTGATGAGGCATTTCTCGCTTTCATGCTTCCAATTAGCAAAACCTCGCTTGAGTTACTTGCAACAGAACTAAAGTTTTAGCGGTAGATATCGCTAATTGTAATGAAGCAAAAAGTAGAAACTAAGCCGCCAAAGGTTATTGTTTGGCATCAGTTGTGGCGCTGTCGGGAAACACAAACACGAAATGAAACAAAGGTAGACAAAGGGAAAATGAATTGGCCCAAGGGTTCTGTCCACAATAGACTTTATTCCTAATCACCCATTAGGTAAATAATGAATTATCACAAAATAACCAACCGTAAATCATTGGTCTGTGTAAAGAGGAAATTGAGTAGCTGAGTGCTGTTGCAAATTTTTAATGTCATTAAAAATACAGAACGAATATCAATTTGAGATTGCGGTCACTATACAGCGGATTAAAATCGAGAAGAAATTATCTAGTTGTGGAAACCTTAAGTTGAGAAATTCTGAGAATCTCGCGCACGAAATTCAATAATCCGATAAAAATCGAAGGCGATGAATACCAATGGTGGAGTGCGTGAGTGATGTAAATATTCGTTAATATGAACGTGCTTGATGATTTTAATACGGCAATATATTTTACTCTGCACAATAACAATATGGATGCGTAATCTTTACTGATTGTCAACTTTGAATGCATCCTATCTTCTTTTACTGGGGAAAAAAGTCACTTTAGACGCAAAAAGAGAATAGAAAAATTTATTGAAAGGAATCTAAGCTCTGAAGTCCAGAGTGCGTTCTCGACTTTTTTTCGTTATCGCTTGCTAATAAATCTTCTTTGTTAAAACTGATATTAATTCTCTTCATCCACTGAGATAACATAAAATTTGAGAAATGAGATATAGTATTGATGCATAGATTTCATTCGATACGTAGATTTAATGCTTTTTTACAATTATATCATTAACTAATTGCTACCCAGACATTTGACGACTAAGAAAACGCCTTCAATCAAGGTTAGGGACCTTTATAATTCCCTGAGATTTTTTTTTTTCAATTATGCATCGCCTTTGTTCTGATTGTCAACGAGGCCCCAACATCAATTTCATGCTGACTTCTTGAGTCCGCAAAGTTCACGCTGACCTTATGTAAAGCGGGCTGCTATCATTTCTGTCACTATTAAAACTAACTCAGTTACTTACAGTAAGTTAGTACCGTTAACAACGGTTATGCCTCCGAAAAAGATGGCTGTGTAGCACCCCATACATCGTCAAAGTTTGATATTTTCAAAGCAGCGACTTTCATACTTTTCCGTGGAGGAAACCAATGGCATCCCGTCTTTTCATGTCCGTGGACCGTAGTGACGATCAAAACCCAGGATAACTCACGAAATAGCTTATGTCTGAGCATTTGAACAGAAATCAGTAAAGGTCTGTTGGTTTATACTTATGACCTTCCCAACTCTAACGAGACCAGACCCACAATTTCGGTTCCAGGCCTTACATTCAGTAGTCGCGAACAAAAATGGACGCCACATAAACTTTACATTGAACGCAGATTATAATGTTAATTGGCCTTAGAAACTGATCATACTTGAAACATACTTAATATGGAAAACGTATTTTATTAGTATGGATACGAAACGGCTAAACTGACTGGGTATGGATTATCCTAGCTGCGTACGAATCGACTACGTCCGTAGGTACGAATCGAACAACCAAATGACTGTTCAACTAGCCTTTTCAGATGAATATAAGAAATCTTCGCAGCTATGAACACTACTGAACTAGTAGTTGAAATCAGACTTGAAAAAAATTCAGGCCCGTCCGGGATTTTGAATCCATATTCTCTGCGGTACCTGTGCAGCGCTCTACCAACAGAGCTAACAAGCCAACTGGGAGCTGGTCATTATGTTGGGTCCAAAAAAACCATCCAAGTGATGAATAATGATTGAAGATATATTTTAGATTTTTAGTTAAAATACGTCTCGCCTTCTTCCCCTCTAAAATAAAAATTTACCTCTACTAAGCACTGAACCGTTGGAATCTACTTCTCTCAAGCGTAACTGACTACAATTTTAGGCAAAGAATTCTCATTGAGCTAAACTTTCTCCAAAAGTAACCACTTTTTTCAGTTTTGATCCGTTTTGAATGATTGTCCCGAGGGAACTTTAAAGACAAGTACTATGGATGAGTTAAGAAAATTTATTTTCGTTTAGCTAACCATAATTTCTGTCTCTCGCTACTAATTAAAGCATTATATGTTACTTATCTTCTCGTCAAAAAATTTAAGTTCTTAAATTGATTTAGAGTCTCGCATCTTCTCGTAAGCATAAGCAACATTCAGAACAGTGGCTTCGTCAAACTTTCTTCCAACAATCATCATACCAACTGGTAAACCATCACTGAAGCCGGCGTTGATTGACAGGGCTGGGTGTCCTGTGACATTGAAAGGACCAGTATTCTGACAGAAGTCAAACGCTGTTCCTAAAAGAATTAAGTGTGAAAAGAATGCGTAGGTAATCATATATGTGAATGATAAAATCGGACGCGTAGTGCAACCGTCGGCGAGTAACCGTCATGACTATTGACGTTTACAAAAAGGGTTTGAGGGCAACGTCCGATATCCAATTGATGAAAAGTATGGCATGAATTGGAAAAATAAAAGACTCGTGAGTTTTATGTATTCATAACTTGAGGCATAAGTCAAACAGTTTACTTTACTATCTACGACAAAATGAACCTAATAGATTGTTGCCGTGTGTCTGTTCACTCAAAAAAAAAAAGAAGCGCATATGGTGTAACTGAGTGTGTCGCTGATCATGCTGATGTTCTTAATTTATTTTAACGTCCTATGGGATCTACTATTCTACAGACCCACTGCGAGATAAAATCGATTTGTTTTATATGAGAAAAAAGTAAAATGCTGTTAGTGGTGACGTCACTTCATCACTCTGGCTGTGCTCAAATAGATCATATGTAAAAACCAATTAAACTGCGAGCGCAATTCAGCTCATTTCATAAAACGTGAACTGAACACCTTCTTATGGATGTTAAGGTTTTTCTACAGAATAATCGTGGATAAAACTTGTTCAAATGTTTGCGTAATTCAGCTTTGGGTCCCAATGGGGCACTGAATTGTGATGTCCGTGTCCGCTAAAAAGTCTCGTTTTACGGTATATATGGGAAGGGAAAATGGCTGGTTTTCGCTTTTACCTCTCAGTAATGTCTGCCCGCTAATATTTGTTTTGTTAGATGTAGGTTTCAGAATAAACAAATTTATAGCGCTAAAAAATATATTTGGCCTAAAAATATCAATTAAACCTTAATTTCGTGTAACCTTAATGCAACTGGTATACTTACACGATGCCCAGCCTAAAACCCACCTGTGGATTAAACATGCGCAGGAAAAATCACCCTTCATTAACACAGACCGCGCTCAAAAATCCATTTTGAAAATGTCAGGCTACAGGTGCACCACCGCCTCCACTTTATTCCTTGTTCCGCCGAGTTTGGTAAAATGTTTTAACACCAACGGTTAAGAATTGCTTTCCCCACAGGACTTACCAAAATTAAGTTGGCTTCTGTCTTGAACTTTGGGAGGCTTTGTAACTATCGTTGGTAAAACCAGAACATCGTAAGATTCCAAAGCTTTATCATATTCCTCGCACAACTTTCGTGATAAATTTATAGCCTTGCCGTGAAATACTCCTCGGAATTTTTCATGCACATAAGCACCAAGCATGACTGTTAACTTTCCGGCAGCACTCAGATCATTGGCATGAGATTGTAAACCGCGGCCAATGGCCTTCTGAAGACTCGTGTCAACAAATCCTCTTGCGTCGGAATTATATCCTAAAACATACGAAAAAACATTTGGAAAATTCTGAATAGTCCATTGGAGTCTTGACTGCTTCCAACTGAATAGAAAATATGAACATTTGTCAAAACATTTGATGAATGTTTTTAAAGCATTTGTCCGAGCTGAAAACTAACCATGTATCTCCTCCTTCTATCCCCGGACAGGACGCTCGCAACATACCCACTGCTATTTTCATCATTATGTAAGATGCATCTCACATATAAATTGTTGCGTATGTTTCATTACCAAAGAGTTTAATTTTCTTTAACTCAGTTGGAAGAGCAGGTGGGCCTTCATATTTTGTTTAGGTCCCACGCTTGTGACGACTTGATTTTTATATTCTCTATTTAGGGTATTAAACATTTTAAGCCCAAAAACGTAAAAAAGTAAGAATGCATAACTTTACCAAATGGAATTCTTGGTAACAAAAAAGCTGCTGTTTAGTAACAATCGAACATCTATAAAATTAGTAATGATCATTAGCTTGTTACGTTTATGGACGGGTGAAACGGTATATCGGTATACTTACCACTGAGTAGTCTGTAACCGCCTTCTGAGCAAATTGCGTCGCATATAAGAATTCCTGTTGAGAAAGAGAGAAAAAACCGGCGTGGGATTTGCGCCCGAAAATATTGTAATCGTTGCAGGAATGAATTGGTGAAAATCATCTTTTTGTGCGAAAGTATCTCACTGTTTTAGTATATACTCAAACAAATATTCGCCTTAATGCTGGTGGTCAGCGGTGGATATTAACAAGGGTGCGAAGCGGCTTGGTAAACTCACCACCTTCCTTCGGTGAATAGCTGTTAACTATAACTAGTTATTATTTTGTTGATATTATGCTCCTTAACACCGCCGTCATCTGGGTCAATTTTGCGCAAACTGTTATGAACAAAAATTGTTACAAAGGTAATGTAAAGTCAGTTCTGATCTTTTCTAAGACACGATGCACGCAAGTGTTCTTCGTTTACCTCATTGATGTAGGAATTTGGTGTACCAAGGTCACGTGGTTGTCTTGGATCCAGGTCTCCATCCAATCCTGTCACGTGGTTGTTTTGGATCCAAGTCTCCATCCAATCCTTCGGTTACTTTTATAATTTGGCAAAAGGACACGTGCGTTTTACCTCCAACGAACCCAAATTGAAAAAGAACGGAACAATGAAACTTTTTAGGGTAGTGCATTATATTTTAACATTTCAGAACTTCATTAAGAAAATCGTCCCAACTTTTAAATAATTTGGCATACAGGTTATTTTCTTACCGTTAAAAAATGGCACCTTTTTTTTTAAATGAAGATGGGGCCACAGGAACAACAGAAACCCATATTAGTTGGTTATGTCCTTATGTAAGCCTCCAAATAATAATTTGATCTCTCTAAGTAGCAAATCGATGAGTAGTAGCTACATGGTGCATGGCAAACAGCATAGCCACAAAGAAGGATCTGAATTGTTTTAAAATAGTATATTAAAAACAGCTACTTTACCTCTAAGAGCAAAGCTACATCCGAGACGGTCCTTGCCATAGGTCCCGTATGATCTAGTAAGAGATTTATAGCTACCATTCCCGTATAAGGTACTAGGCCGTATGTTGGCTTCAATCCCACAATTCCACATGCAGCAGAGGGGATCCTAATGGACCCCCCTTGATCACCACCCATGGCCATGTCCGCGTATCCACCCGCCACCTGTCATGAATTGGTAGTTACCATCAGATGACATGCAGTATAGTATAATACAATGAGAGTGGTTAAAGTTAGTCAGGAACCAGTCGTCATTTTTAAAAAAACGGCTTAAACTTAAGATTAAAGAATTTTATTGTTTCTCGTTCTTTACCATCTACAATGGTGTATGGTCCTATTTGATTCGTTTCTGTATTTTTATTCCATCCAGCTCATGTTCAGCGTTTTTCTTTACTATGGAGGTAATATTTTCCCTTCCAGAAAACGACCCCAAAATATCGTGATGTTGTCCTGTTCAGCTATTGAAGAAAATTACTAGGCCCTCTTGGCCCTATGTAATTCACCTGGATTTGTGCCCTTTTTAATCCAGTTTATCAGGGGTTTCAATAACTTTTATCGTAGGGGGCCGCCGATGGTTCAGCAGGCGGCTGTGCCGTAATTAAGGCGACAGCCTAACTGCTCGCGGGCTCAAAAATGGTGGCTAGAGGTGTTACAGGCGGCCATAAACAGCCGGCCATAAACAGCCGTTAGGCGGCTTTTATTTAAACCCTTTCACATGCCTTAATGAAAAGAGCATGATCATTAGAGCACATTATTAATCAATCCAATGACACAAATAGGCTCACCAGTGCTGCTGAGCCGGATGAAGACCCGAGAGCCATTCTCGTTTCATTGTGAGGGTTGACAACAGGACCCGTGAATGCGGTGCAGCTAGTGGCAGTAAAACACCACTCCTCACATACGGCTTTCCCTGTGATTCTCCCTCCAGTATCTAATATCCGAATCACCACAGTGGCATCATGATCCGGGACATAATGTTCTAACATCCGGGATCCATTAGTCATTGGCAGTCCAGCCACTGGGATGTTATCTTTGATAGCGATGGTTTTTCCTTGGAGTTTACCGCTTTGAGCGCCTATTACGTCACAACGCCAGGACCTGAAATTCTCGGGAGTAGCTTTTATGAGCTATTGATGAATGACTAGTGAAAACGAAAGATCACTCTCGACCGATTGCCGTTCTGTGAAAGCGCACTTGTACCAACGGAACTCGCCGCTAGCGTGCCGGATTAAAGATTTGATTTTATGATCGAGGAGACCGTTAGTTAGAAACAGAAATTGGGTGCCTAATATCATGAAAGAGAAAAAACGTTTATAGAGAATTATTAATCAACACATAGTCTGCTAAGTTAAGCTCGTTGGCAAATTTAACAAATTTTCCTTCCCACCTATCCTCCCTTTCTTGTTGACAAAACCAGACTACCCCCCTCCCCTTAAGAAGCACTGTGATTTAACATAGACCAGTGGTCATGGCTTTATCACATAAAATCCTTTCTCAAAGCCGATGAAGCAGCTGATAGACAAGAAAGAAAGAATAAAGAAAACAAACATAAAGAAATACGCACCACGCATTGTAAGGGTTTTCAGCTGGCCCTGGCCTGTAACCGGCCTCCCGCGGATATTTCACAGGGAGTCTAGACTCGGGTAAGTCGCATAACCGCTGGTAAGTATGACGAAGAGTGCCGGTCATCGCCTCTACGGAAGAAAATTTTTGATCTTAGAATTCCGTTTCCAAACAAAACGTCGTCTCTCAATTTCTTTAATTCCATTATAGGAGAGTGTGAGTGGGGTTAACCGACTAACGACAAAAGGCGAAAAATACTACCGACTACCGACAAAACGAGAAAAAATTATCGGTTTGCAGCTGACGTCATACATTTATGCAAATTAAGCGTCCGCCATGTTGGTGCTCATCTCAGGTGAGAAATTTCATGCAAATATATCGCCATCTCTATCGTGCCCTCTTTCAAATACTTTGTTTTATGGACATTCCCGGTGAAAAAAAATCCAGAATCAAAAGAGAATATTCTCCTTAGGATACCTGTGCTTTTGAACTAAGCGGAGGGCCTAGAAAGCCACGTTCGAGAACGATATTTTAAGAAAATTTATGTGGTTGGTGTCGATCCAGTAACCATTCGAAGCGAGCACTGAATTCGACTCAGAATGTCTGTCCTCGATACAAGATTGTTCTGGAGTTGTTGTTCAAATAAGGAAAGCATTCAAAAGTCTTTCTTCAAGGAGCAGATTGACATTCGCAACGGATGAACGGATGAACGATCTTCTTGTAGACAATTGGGTTGTCGCAGAAAGTGAGACACAAATGTACGTCAAGAAAAAGGAACGAATATAGTTTGAGAAACATACGAAAAGTTCCTCAATCATAACGCACCGATCCCAACGCACTGCCTCACGGAAGTGCTTGGCTTAATCCTTAAATAAAATTCGTTTTAATTCATTGAGGAGAGCTTCCTCCAAAAACATGGAACCGCGTTGGGTATGAAAATAGCAGTGTCATTTGCCAATATTTTCATGGCGGAAATTGAAAAGAAATTAATCCAACAAAGCGAAACCAAACCAAAAGAATGGATACGTTACATTAATGACGTTTTCTCCCTTCGGGATTGTGAGAGAAAAGAGGTAAATCGGTTCATTAAAAGGGCTAACTATTTCCACCCAACTATCAAATTCACGGCTGAAATATCAGAGAATCAACCAAATCACTTTTCTCGATACCACGGTGTTCAAAGGGGAAAGATTTGCAAAAAAATTCCATCTGGGACATCGAAACTCATTAGAGGCAGACCGAGACTTTCCAAATTACGCACTTCGCCTCTTGCCACCCACCAGGCGTAAAATACGGTTCATTAAAGGCAAGCAATAAGATTGCCTAGAACTACCTCTTGGAAAAAAACATTTGAAGTAGGCCGTTTGAAATTCAAACAAAGCCTCGAAGCAAGAGGGTACCCAGAAAACATCATAGAAGGGTGTCCGTCTGGAGGTCAACTTTGCCTCTTGACAATCGGCATATAAACATACAAAAAAGCCGAAAGGTCACGAACGTTTATTGCCTTTCGTCACACCGTACCACCCGGCAGTTAAAAATTTAAAACAAATATTGATGGAACAGTGGAGTCTGATACACAATCAGCCCTTGCTGAAAACAGATTTTACAAGGACAGGGAGAAAAAGAATTCAAATTATTCGTGGATTTTAACTTGCTCTTACAGGAACTGTTACCCCTTAAAATGTACTTGACGAACATTCTCTCCCTTTTGATGTAGTCCAGAACCGTTGCGCGGGTCAAAAAAAAAAAAATGGAGTTAGGGATGATGTTGGCGCGCCGCGTGGAACTATCAGAGTTCTCACATCCAGAGTTCCGCGCGGCAAGGCGCGCTAATTTTTGTACTGATTTTTTAGACTCGCATAGCGGACTTTGCCAAAAAGCATAGACTGTTCGTAGTAGACAAAAATTGTAACAACTGACACTATTGAACGTGGAAAATTCCTGCAAAGACAACTACTGTAAGTTTACGTTTATTCTAAATTAAAAGCGCTCAACGTGTAAAGAAAACGTTATATGATACTTTTCTTCACTAAAATGCAGTATTTAAAAGATTATTTAGTGATTCATAATATTAATTAAGTCTTTTTGTTTCAGTTTCAGGACGTGAGTTGTCCCTTGGAAATCAGATTCCCTGATTTAAAACTGAATCGTCGCTTAAAAATTATTTTTGATGTAAATTGTAAAAGAGATCAAATTTATGCAGATAATATGAAGCAAAATTTAATTCCACGTAGAATTGTGCAATATCGCTGATGCTTATATGACTGCAAAGGCCGCTAAAAACACTCCTTATACAATGCCTGTCACATTTTGTCTCTATTGTATTTTGCGTCAAAATCTACTACATCTTGCGTTACTGCACATAATGTAGCATAACAGGGACAAAGGCAAGATTTTCCATTCCCGGAGGTGGAGGTGTAAGAATATGACAGATTTCTCCCTAAGCCTTTGGAAAACCCTCTTTCCTCTCCTCCGTCCCCTCTCCTTCCCCCTCCCCCCCCCCTCCTACCTCCACAAGTAACATTTCCCCCCTAACTGTTTGTTTAAACGCAGCGCAGCAAGCAAGCTAAGACTAAAAGCTGAGTCACGCAACGCCTTATACTCGATCAAGACGTTGCACTGTAAAAACAAATAATTTATTGCCGGTGTGCCCGTTTGGCAAAAATTCAAAACTTTGTATTTTCACCTAGTTGCCTTGAGGAACACAATTAAAACACACGAGCGGAGCTGTTGTTTAACCCCTGTGCTAGCACTGTCCTGTCTGTGAGTTCTGTGCGAGCTGTGAAATCATTGATAGTGAAAACCAGGCTAAAAAGAAACTACTTACCTAAATAAACGGATATCTCCTCGTCTTTAATAACAAAGCCCATTCGTCGAGATAGTGACCTTATCTCTTCAGCACTGGGCCCCTGTAATGTGGATCCTTCAATAAGGTTCGCATCCATTGTACGTTAAGGATGCTCTCTGGAATTTCGATCAGAGGAAAGAATCTTAATAACCCGGTCAGCGTTCTATCATAGGAGTCACGCAAAGTCGCCTTGCATGATCACCTCGTGACCGCTTATTGATTTCTCTTGACCAGTCCTAGTTCGAAAGCTTTTTCTTTTAAATTATGTTATCCACTTGTGATGATATAAATTTAAAACAAAAAAGCATAGGATAGGATAGGATTTGTCTTCATCGCAATATCTAAGCGAACAACGACCCCCAATTTAGTACACGAAAAGATTATCACTTCTGTCGTTATTTGCATTTCACAGTTGGCCGCTCGCCCGCCTTAGCGTAATGGCGGCGTTTATCTGGTAAAGGAATAACTTATCGAGTGCTGTTTTAGATAACATTGGTCGGTTAAGTGTTATAATTAGGTGGCGTCTACAAAAGATGAAAGCAATGTACAAGGAAAAAGTGGTTAAACCTCCAAGCACTGCTCAACTTACCAAAATAGCTACCGAGCTTGGTTACGACTTAGAACAAGATGAAATTCTAGAATACAAAGGTTAGTGCCGTCAAATTAGACAGAAGCAACCATTTTTAATATCTAACGCACATAACGTACGGACTACGGACTACGGACTACGGACTACGGACTACGGACAACGGACTACGGACTACGGACTGAGAACACAGAAATGGGAACAGAATGTGGATGAAGAATTACCAGCACTCATATTTTAATAGAGGACGTGTACACCGATTGGTGAAGTTTTCTCGTGGACTAACTTAATCGTTTCTGGCGCTATACAGTATTCAGAATTGATATTTCATTAGATCTAAGCGAGCTGCCATCACAGCACATTTTCAGAAATATTCCCTCGGAAGATTCTCCAGGAGAGGTTTTCGTTATTGTTTCTTCCGAAGTAACAAATTGTGGTATCTGGCGAATATTTAATGAATCGTCGGTTGTTAATCCATTGTCAAATGCAATAGTCTTGATACTGTTTACTCAAACATCTATTATTTTAAGTAAATAAAGGGTGTAAGTTTTTGTAGAGACTGTGGCGCTGCGTCGGTGGGAGAGTATAACAAGGTAATTTAGTGTTAACAACTGAGTTGATGACGTAAATTGGCCATCGTAATAAGTTAAAAGGCTAGCGTCGCCATATTCCCACCAATAGCGTAGCTCCATTTTCTGCATATAAACCCACATACAACCCAAAATTCCTTCAATCGCTCTGATGAAGGGCTATCACTCGAAACGTCAGCCTTTAACTCTTTACAGTGGCCAATTTACGTTATCAACTCAGTTGATAACACTAAATTTCCCTATTATTTCAAGTGCCGAGTTTAATGACATTTTATCGGGATCTGGTAAAAATGTGATCTAGTATGAAAGACTTATTTTGAGAAGATGACTCTCATTACATTACTTTTCAGCCTAAAGTAATTTACAATTATCCACCAAAGTGGAGGTGAATAGTGGTAAATATCCATCACTTTCACCGACACTGAGACGAAGAATTGTTTTAGTATATGCCACACCGATGCAAAAAAAAATAGTTTATTTCTATAAAGATACCAAAAAATGGTCAGAAATTAAACTCGTGACCCGTGGTTTTGACTCATCGGTGAATAGTACTAGATATTCACTTCTGAACTGGCCAATCAGCGCCTGCAAAAAGCACTATTCACTTGTTTGGTATCTACTAATAGAAAATAATGTATTTTTATTTTATCTGTTTGTAGTCGGTGTTTCATACAGATATGTTAAATTTTAGTGAATGTTACCGACGACCAGCATTAGGCCTTTTGGCTTAGATCTAGCGCCTGCTAAGCTCCCAGGAGTTCATGTTGGACTGTTCATCGTATTGCTTGACTTTTGACACTCCTTTCGAGGCTCATACACTGTAATTCTATACGATTCAGGAAATAGCTTTGCCGAGTCAGTCCACTCAGTCTTGCATTTCTTTGAATAAACATAGTGTTGCTCATAACTCTTTGGGAGGTGGGAAGTTGGCAGAAAAAGCAAGAAAGATGACCGTTTTTCTCTCTCTAAAATTAATTTAACCATCTCACTTGATTTAACAGACGTTATTGATGACTCTCTTCAAGCAACATATCAAAGGTTTAATGAAATACCCGATCCCAAGCTACCTGTAAAATACCCCCGCACGCCTGGTTATCGACCGACCGGGCCCAAGGACAACCCTTATAACGCATGGTAAGTTAGACTTAAACAATGTATTGCTTTGCTAATGTAGTGTGGCAGCTGAAACTCCTTGTCTACATCCGAATCACTCTGTGCAAAGGTCTTCGGAGTATATTTGACTTTCTTGTCTCATTCACCTAAGGTACTGGCGCTGTGACATTCCTGGCGCTCCAAATGGAAAACTTCAGGGTAAATCGATCGCCATCAAGGACTGTATCTGTGTCGCGGGTGTTCCAATGATGATGGGCTCCCAGATATTAGAAGGTTATACCCCGGATGTCGACGCCACCGTCGTGACAAGGATACTAGACGCTGGTGGTCGTATCATGGGGAAGGCTGTTTGCGAGAATTTATGCAACAGTGGAGGTAGCTTTAATGCGGCCACCGGTCCTGTAGTTCACCCGCTTGATGAAACAAGAATGACAGGTGGATCCTCTTCAGGGTGTGCCGCTCTGGTATGATTAATAAATGGTGCATACATTGTAGTCCAGTGCAATGATCAGCATGTCGTTCTCCACAGACATCTCAAGTTCATTTTGCAGAGCCCATGATCACTGACTGCCGACCGTTTTGAGCGCTGAACTGCGGGTCGAGAAGTCTGGGTTCGAGACCTGGCCGGGTCATTGTGTTGTGTTCTTGTGCAAGGAACACCTTACTCTCCCCACGCAGGAGTATAAATGGGTACCAGCTAATTGTCGGAAAGGCTTAAAAAAAGCCGGGGTTAAGCTTGAGATGAATTGGCATCCCATCTACGGGAATACACTCCGGCTGTAAGGGCACTTGGCTCGACTGTCCTTTTACCTTTTCAGGAACATTAGTCCTTGCAAATATGTAGACCTCTGAACCCTCTCAGACAAGTACCCCTCTCCTTCTTTTAGATCTTCAGTGTTGTGTTTATAGAGGACATAAATGAACCCACACACTTGCAACATAGAGTAGAACACAAAGCTCCCACGTATTGTGGTCTGTAACCTCATTCGTGATATAATCAATAATGTGGAAGAAATTTCAAATTTTGCATGAGAAATATGTTCTTCACGTTTAATTTATATTCTCGTGAGCTTTCAGGTGGCAGGAGGTCACGTGGACATGGCGGTAGGTGCTGATCAAGGTGGCTCCATTCGTAATCCAGCAGGACGTTGTGGCATTGTGGGGTTGAAGCCTACTCTAGGTCTTGTTCCATATACGGGTATTGTACCCATGGAATTCAGCCTCGATCACGTAGGCTTGATGGCCAAAACTGTGCAAGATGTAGCGTTATTACTCGAGGTTGGTATTTTGGGAAATTCTTGATAACACGCGTTGAAATAATGAGGGGCATGACAAAAAAAAATACGCGAGGCGGTGCATGTCTTTGATTACGCGCATTTCGCAAATTGCGGGTTTTCTTTATAGCCTTGCTTTTCTCACACAGGTTTTCCCTAACGCTCTTTTTCCTCATGTGCGTTTCAATTGTATTATCTAGGCTTCATTTCTCCAACGCTACAACTGGGGAAGAGGTCGCGTACACTTATTTTTTTTCTTTAAGATATTACATGGGTGAGTTGTGAGTTGACAGAGATTTTCATTTAATCTTTAATTTTTCTTAAGCTTTTGGTTTTCACAACATCTCAAGTTGTGTTTCTTGTTGCTGCAATAATCGTTGTTTACACGAACTAATCTACGTTTTTGCTGAACTGTTTGCTCTCGAAAGCCTTAATTGAAAATGCTATCCGGTATAGCTCTACGTACTTTCGTTGATGTAAAGTATTCTGAATCAGTTTAACTGTAATTTTTTTTATTGAAGATTACAGCTGGCTCAGACGATGGTCTTGATTATCGCCAGCCTCATGAACTGCAGGTGGAAAATTACGTAAATCAGGTGACGAAGCTATCTTGTTTCCAAAGCCGTGATCTGTTTGGTCAGCGTCACAATTTTAACGAGCTCTTTCTGAACCGAATTCACCTTGTCTTCTGATTGGCTGGTTTGACTGCGGTATAAATAAGTTGTTTCTTTACGAATTTTTTTCTATCGACTGCTACAATCAGCTGTTAACTTGCTCGTAAGAATTTCTCACTATTCTCGTATGACTTTCAACTGAAACTTTTTCGCCCTTTTGAGGAAAGTCATGCTAAATGTTGATGTAGAATGCCTAATAAACTAGCACTTCAACGCAGTTCCTCGATAGGTATTTGCCATTTACAGTTCACAGTTTGCCGCTTAGAGTTTATTGCTTATTGTTTGCCTATTACCGTTGCCGTGATTTATTTACCTTCCCCCGTTAACCTTTTGCCGTTTTGTGTTTCCATTCACCGTTTACAGTTAATCGTTTATCGTTTATCGTGTATTATTTATCATTTTCCAATCACCATTTATCATTTTTTGACAGCTTACGAGTGAAATCTCTAATCTTCGACTCGGACTTCTTACGGAAGGCTTTTCTCATCCCCAATCTGAGCCCGATGTTGACCAATGCATCAAAAGGGCCGCTAAACACCTGGCTACAGAATCGGGTGCGACCCTACAAGATGTCTCTGTTCCAATACATTTGGATGGTAAGTGTAATTTGTACTTTGTGATAATCGAAAGCAATAAATCGGCTACCTTGATAGTATATATTGTAGTTACTCCTTTCCAATCTGAGCGTTTTAGGGACCAGCTATAAGTTTTATTACCGTTTGAGGAAGGGCTGAGGATTTCGGGGGGAATAGCAAGATTTTCAGGGGGGAATGGACGGAGAGATCAGTCGTCACCTACAGAGTATAAAGGGGGAGGGAGGGGAGCTTAAGAAAATTGACTGCCAATTCACTGTCACTGAGGGGGAATCAGACGAAAAATATTACACAGCCTTTTGAGGGATCAGTCAAATTTTATTGTGACATAACCAAAATCCTCCCACCGGTCCCTTATTCCACACTATGCGGGGCATAGTAAGTGAGGCTTGTCTTCTGTTTTTCTCGTAGCAACTGTTATCTATGACGCTTTTACCGAAGGAGGACTCTGGCCTGACAGATTTTTTGAGACAAACGGTAGGTCCTGACCCCACTGAAAATAAAGGCAAAAATATGAATGAAGTAGAAACAGCAGCGTTTACAGCGGTGTATGCCTTGGGGAGAAGCCTATAGAACAGGTGTAATTCTTAGACGTTTTTCAGGCGCTCTCTACCTCGCGCGTGACTCCCGCTTCAATTTTGCCTCGCGTTTGCCTGGCCGTCTAAATAAAACCCCAAAAATTACACCTATTCCGCAGGATACTCAGAGAGAGGTAGGGTACCTGATTGTTTGGAGCGTGGTGTGAAAAGGCTGGGTTTGAGCTCAGGCCCTGTTCTTTTCACTGTGTTCGAGGGAAAGACAGTTAGCCTTTATTACAGTCGACTCCCGTTCTTGCGGTCACCCTTGGGTGGGTTGTGCGGGGATTTAGTGTCCGTAATAGCGAGAGTCCGTAATAGCGGGAAAAAAAAATTGTTTGGTCTCTTAACAGATGAAATAATATGTAGCTACGCAAACAAAGTTTCTGACGTAACCGCGCGAACCGGAAAAAGATTGGGCCGCAGGCAGTAAATTCTTATATTCGCACTCAATTGAAGAATGGTTTCATTGTACATTTCATGCATGGGCTTTTATCGGGTAATGTCAAATATGCTGTTTATTAGCCTTTGGCTGACCCTCTTTAAATAAAGGGTTTTGGACGAAGTAGCTGTATAGAGAAAAACACGATTGAAATGTCAATTGAAATGTCGCGCAAGGGGGCATGAAAGTGTCTGCATTTCCTAAATAGCGAGAGTCCGTGATATCGGGAATTTATTTCAGCCATGTCTTCATGCGTTTCGCCGGGGCCTGGCTCTTGTCCGCAATGGCGGGGTGTCCGTAACAGCGCGGTGTCCGCCGAGCGAGAGTCGACTGTACACAGCACATCTTGCATTATAGAACACGAACGGTAGCTAAAAGCTGAAAGCCTTAGCTGGCCCTTTTACATGGGGGTGAGGGAGCCCAAGTTGGTGAGGTAACCCACCTAGGTGGGGGTAACTTACCTGTCCACATAATCTATAATTTTATGACGATTACGTTTACATGATAGGTGGGGTAACCGTGTGCCTGGAGGGGTTGCTCAGTCTGCCGGGTAGGGTAACCCTGTCAGCCGGAGTGACAATTTGCCATGTAAACGTTTCAAGATGGGGTAACCTACCCAGCCGGGGTCTCGTTCATGTTAAATTTAATTAAAGAACTTCTTTTCCCTCAGAGTCCTCATCCCAGCATTCCCGTGCGGTAAGATTGGGTGTAAACGCGGGCTATTTTTCGGCCACGGCTGAAGGGGTTATCTCAACTACCTGGGGTTCTCCATCGCCAATCAAACAGGCCCTAAAACACTTTGAAGACAGCTTGCGATAGACCACTACTACTTAACATTAAAACTGTGAACACTCTTTCAGTTTCTCATTTGCATTTACTCTGAAGGCTATCAGGTTACCAGTCTCCAGAAATGGTTTGCACAAGGACTAAAGACTCGAGCAAATGATATCAGCGCCGACTTCAAGGTCGCCTCTATCAAAGGAAGATACTTGCAAAAAAACTATAACGATGAGTTTTTCTTTAAGGCACGCAATCTAGCGTGGAAACTAAGAACAGTGTTTGACGAGGCACTGACCAAAGTCGACGTGTTGATAATGCCTACTAATCCGAAGAAAGCCAGACCATTACCTCTTCCAAATATTCCTCTAAGAGGTAACTTTATTAATTAATTGATAAACCATAAAAAATGAGTAACTAAGCAGTGTAAGGTGCAGCCCTTTTTATAAAACAAGTTTTTTCTGCATGAAACAAAGAAAGAAAAAGAAAAATAACTTCGGTCTTCTTCGGGAAAAAAAGTCTTTTACGGCCAAGATATTTGTTCCTCTTCTGAGAAATACGTTGTTGCCTTAATAACCCTTGCACCCTTGCAACTAGTATTTAATTTGCTCTTACAGTATCACCCCTGAATCCCACACTAGGGTCACAAGGAGAAAGGAAATGATCACCACGGAAAAAAGCTCTTGATTGTTAAACAAATTCCCCTTGTCAGCATCTTTGGAAGTGTATGGAGAATCTTATGGAAAATTTGAATACTGTTAGGGTGAAAAAGGTTTATAAAATTTTAAATTCATGCAGATTTTCGTTTGTTTATGAGGGTTTCTTTCTTATTGGCTTCTCTATATGTAAGAGTCACAGCGCCTACTAATCTCGTTCCCAGATCCTACCGTGAAACTAAAATTTATACCATTGTTAAACCGGGAAGGCCTGGGTACGAGATTTAGGCAGTACATATCGATCGATAATAGGGTAACCTTCATCGGTAAAAATTACATGGGGTCTGGTGTATGAGAAACTGCAAAGATTAAGAATAAAGTCGAGGAAGGCTGCTGTTAGTGTTAGATTGACAGCAAATTTATCTTTTGGTTTGCTTCTAAATTTTTGTTATTACTGAACTTTTGTCAATTACCAAATCTTTGGGTAGTATCTTTATTTCCGTCATTTAATCATTCTTAAATTTCTTTTCTCTCCAGAGTATCTGCAATGTTGTAGTGAGAACTACATAAATACATGCACCTTCAATATGACGGGTCACCCAGCCCTGTCAATCAACGCCGGCTTCAGTGATGGCTTACCGGTCGGTATGATGATTGTGGGGAGAAAGTTTGATGAGGCCACTGTTCTGAATGTCGCCTACGCTTATGAGAGGATCAGAAAAATGTAGACTAAACGTACTTTTGTTTTCAGACCTTAATTTTGCTAAAGTTTTGATAGATAGGCTCGACATGTTGTTCCTTTCTGTACAAGGGATAAGGAAAATTTGATACAGTTATGCAAACCAGAGACACAGTCGAGGCAGCTGTCATTCTTATTTGATCACGTACAAATCTGTGATTCCAGTTTATTTCAAGTTTGTGATGAAATATTGCTTGTCCAACGCGGATAAAAAAAAATTACCTCCCCTTTTCGTAAGCGCGATTACAAGGCCGCTTCTCTGGAAATTAGCCTGCGCACACTCCTCAAAGTCACTTTTGCGGAGGGGAGGGATAGAACACCGGACTCGAGAAAACAGCAGAATTCGAGCCTACCCTTCCCCCCACCACACATACACACACACGCACACACACACCCCAGTCTCAAACAAAGTTGACGGTACCATTTATTCTCCTGAGTAGAAAGATACACAATGAGAGGTGGAGGTTAATTAAGCCCCATTGAAAGTTCGCCCCTTTCTAGTTCTCCTCCACTTAGTGGCGATTACGGGGGCGATCTTGTCATTCTGGGGGGCCGACGAGTTGGGGGCGAACTTGTAGACAGCGAGGCAAAAATTAGGTGTCTTTTAACCCGTTCCAGGTCCCACCTATTACCGGCTCTATCTCAGGCGTTGTGGTGCTGTAAGAATAGGGGCCCTGGGAATGCGGTTGATTGATTTCCTCTTCATGATAGCACACAATATAACCCTACCCAGCTCGAATCCGGATATTGTGGTCTGAAGGCCACTGCAAAGTTACATTGAAAGTATGTTGACAAAAAGAAGAGTAATGAGATATCAAATATATAATTTCATCCCTTTTATTTACTCAAGACTTTTAAGCCAGTTAATATTTTTTCCCTAAGAGACATTAGGCCACTTTCAAAGTGAAAGTCATTCCTCCTCCTCACTCCCGGATGTAGATGTTCCCATGAGGATTAGCGACATTGGTGAGCTGATTCAGGTTGTTGGTTCCGCATGGATCATGAGTAGGCCAATTAGTGCCAGTGTTTCCATCGAAATAGTAATATTCTTTAAGATTAGTATTACTTGAGGAACGAATGAGATCAGGGCCCACGGTCTTGCCGTTAGGGTTTCCAGCAGTAAACTCGATGAGACGGTCGGGAACAAGGCCTTCACACCTTGATGCGACGTTCTTAATATTGCGACATTGTAGATATCCTTCTCGCATATCCACCAGACTTCCGCTACTTTCTGTACATGTACAAACGATCCAGTCATTGATGTTAGACTTGATCATGAACTCACGGCCAAGAGTCTTCCACAGGCTAAATTCCATGGCGTTGTAGTCTGTTTCACTGACGGGGGCGGCGGTGGACACGGGCACGTTAGCACCTGGAGCGTACCAGTTAGGACGTGGCGTAACGGCGTTAGATGCTGCCCTAAAGTTCCTGCAAAATGAAATGAGAAGTTTTTAAGAGTTAAATTTCCGTGCCAATAAGATAATTGCTTGTCATATCAATCGTCAAATCTCCGAGGGAAAGACTGTTCCTAAGCTCGTTCTGTAGCCGTGGCATTTTGTTGATTTGTAGTTATTCCGCACATTATCTAAAATGCTACGGTCCCGAAATGCCTCGTCCCAGATGAAAAATAAACAAACAAACAAAAGCAAACAAGGGGCGTGGAGGGCTGGTCTAAATTCACGTTTCCATCTTTTTTTTTTTACAAATATGTTTAGCCAAAAATAGGGCTACAACGATCAAACAGAGATGTTAAGTCGATTGAAAAAAGTTCTAAACGTAAATGTCATTCAGTAAAAAGTCCCCAATAAGTGATGACTAGAGTGACTCTGTGGTGAGCTCCGCTTATCAACAAAGATCTTCAGTTCTTATTTCACTTCCAACATGCTTGGTTAAGGTGCCAATGCAATGATGAGGAGTGGATCTCAACCTTTGATGCACAAGTTACCTACTATCTCAGCTAATATAAACCTTTTCCTACGGTTCTCTCGCCCCTGAGCGTCCGGTCAGGGCCTAATTTGCTAAGTAAATTGAAGTTTAGGCGAATTCGTATTTGGACATGTCTCAGTTACCTATAGTTCGTAAATGTATAGCTGTATACTAGTGTCCAGCCTCCACCGTCTGTTTCCTGATCGCAATAGGCCTGGAAAGCGTTTGCACCATCAGGTTTAATCCAATATATTCCAGATTCTGAGTTCTTCTGTTTCTTTTTAAGATCTTGACAGGACTTAGCAGCGTTTTTCTTGTTCAGGCCTGTGGTGTAACCATGTCAATTGTTATGATCTGAATATATTATGTTTCTTTAAAGCGAGTTCACTGAAAAGCAGCTCTTGGAGCTCAGAATCTGAGTGGGAAGCATTGGATCATTATCCAAAACGTAGGAATTTTCATCAAGGGATTTGCTGTCTTTACATCCTACTTTTGATTAAAAAAGAGATATTATCTCCGTATAATGAGTTACAGTTATCCCTTGGCCTCTCGCTCCTAATTCAACTCGCAAATTATCCACGCGTATTGCAGTTATGTTAAACCATCGAGTAAGGTATAGTGTATGTATATTGTGAATATAGAGGTGTAGACAAATATTTCAGGCACACTTACCATATAATAACTTTTTTTCGTCGCATGGTTTCTCAGTAGGCTTCAGAACTATTATTTTTTTTATTGATAAAAAAAAAAAGTTGTAAGTGAAATGGGATAATTTCGCCAACTTTCTTAATACCTGGCTGGTGAAAATTTAATGACTTTAAATTAAAAACAACAAGATCTTCTAAACTCACCAACTCACCAAAAATTTATTAATTAAAACGGTACTAATGCTTCGCCTGGCTAATATCAAGTACACTTTTTGTTTTATCATTTCTCTTGATTTGTGTATGTACAGACAGACCTGTATTAGTATTAATCATAACCATTACAATTTCCTCAAATGTGATTGGTGCATTAGCTGCTTTATTTTTCATTAATCACTCGGTATAGTTGTAATCGGACAGTTGGCTGTAATCGGACACATGTAATCTCACAATTGGCTGTAATCAGACACATATAACCGGGCAGTTGAAGCAGCCAATCATACTGAGTCCGTTCAGCTAAATCCACCAATCACAGTATTGATCACCATAACCATAGCAACAATCACCAACCCTGAAAAAAAAACCGGGGAATTTCCAAAATGGAGAAATTTTTCACTTTAAAGATTGTCTCTACCGCAGACGTTTGTCATAAATGTATTTGTTTTTTTTAAATAGTAACGGTTATAATTAATGGTAACAGGACTTTGTGTCGGCCAACTCATGATAAACAAATCGGACTTCCGCCTCGCGCTCATCCGATTTTGTAAACTCGTATGATTACAGGCCGAATTGGACTCCACTCGGTCCTATTACCATTATGAATCAAAACTATAATAAGATTCTCGAACGTGATTGGTTATTACCAGCCCGATTTGAGCAATAGTAGGACAGTGTACGCGTCATGCTTGTAACTGGACAGTGTAATGGGACAGTTGGCACATCAGGCCTAATACGTGGACAGTACGCGTCATGAGTATATGTCATGAGTATGCGTCATGAGCACGCGCTGCTGTCGCGCATTTCGCCGAGTTGTTGTTGTTTGATTTTTTTTAAGAAGACGTACGACTAATATCTAATTTCTTTCTCGGATTTTGTCATACTTTTGATCAGAAGAATATCAACAGTTGATATTCTTTTGTTTGGATTAATTGGTAATCAGAATCTAAGTGGAGTCCAATTCTCGTGATCAACGAATCAGACTCCCGCTTTGCGGTCGTCTGATTTTGTTAGTCACTCATATGATCGGAGTCCCTTCAGTCCTATTATCATTATCAATACTGTTTGCTGTCTCCGTAATTTACTGTAAATTTCTTGGACTAAATGCAAAATAAAGACATCTGTGATCATCTATTGTTATTATTGTTGTTGTCTTAAGACTTAATTTCGAACAATAAAATAAAGTATGTAGCCCGTATACTGAGAAGTTCAATAAGCAAGAAAAAGAACAACTTAGCTAAACGTAAGGGTTTTCACTTTTTGATTTAAAAGTCTCCCACGGAAAATTCATCGTTAGCCATACCTTTATTTCCACAATATCTTGCTCTTTTGATGCCTGGTCGAGGCAACTCATATATCCAAAATCCTTGACATTTCATAATCTTGATCGTTTGCATCTTATAACAGCCGCCATTTTGTGCAAAGCATACTGTTCCTTTAACAAATTCTCCTGAGCTCAGACCGTCAGGATGGGACGTGCGCAGGAAGCCTGGGTATGATGCACCGCACGATGGCGACTCCAAAAATTTTCCTGTGGTCTTTCTGTAAAAGAAAACCATTCAAAATATTTAAATTAACAAAAAAAATCACAACCCTTTCAGTTCTGGCAAAGTTGTGTGGTTTTTGCACGCCGCATTAGTAATTACCTTCCAAAGAACCAAACGTCGATTTCAATTTAAATCATTTTTGGACTCATCTTGGACAAGATGTCTGGAAGTCTACGTTTTAATTAAAAACATTAATTCATACTTACATGTCGGCCATTTTTTCTCCTGCGTCACCCGTAAACCGATACCATTCCTTTTTCCAGTCGTTGTTCCTGTCTGACATCCCCGTGTCAATGCCGTAACCTGCAGCTCGATTTGCTTCACCCAGCTTCTTATAATTATCACATGGACCGTAAGCACTGTCTGAAAAAAAGTTAACCGTTACGGTTATTCTACACACTTGCCTAATTCAGAAAGGGTTGTGCATTGGCGTAACAGAAAGAGAGAATGCAAAGATTTCTTATATTCGAATAAAGTGTACAACTACGTGACGGCTTGACTTGGATAAAAATGAATAAAAAAATTAATGTATCCCGCGCAAAACGAAAAATAGAGGGAATAAGAACTTCGATAGGGTGAACAAGTGAACAAGCGATCGATTGCCGAATGGGTAATTCCGATAATTCTTTCAATTGCTATCTACCATACCCAAAAGTACAAGAGGTATCACTTACTTGGCTCTGGAATGTAACATAGTAAAAACAGCAAATTAAGAGCAATTACTGTAAGCATCATGGATCCCTGAAATGTTAAAGTATGTAAGAAAGTGCCTTAGCTGGAATGTTTATCTGATTTTTTTTATTGGTATTGTTGTCATTATAAAGTTAGAATGTGTTTAATATCAATAGGAGCAAAATTTTGGAATAAAGACATATGAAGTCATGGGCTTAAAAAAGAAAAATGGCATAAGATTAATAAAGAGAATTTAATTTCTCATGGTTCAAAAAGCGTTCTTCTTTGAAAGCCGAAATTATGAAACCGGGCTCTCTTCTGTAGATTTCCTACAGCTTTCCTTTCCTTTACATGTTAAAATGCAGTTTAAACATAGAAATCATATAAATGCCAACTGAATAATATCATAGAATTGTGTTTTTCTTATCTAAATGAAAAACTCAATTTGCAATGACGTTCGTGAGTGTGGACCTCCGCCGCGCACACACACAAATACATTTCATTTCCAAGGGTAATTACTTCATGCCTCTTTTCATTAGTTCATGAACACTGTTGCCCATTTTACAACAAAATTGAAAATGAAAAGAAGACTTATTTTTGTTAGGTTTGATTAAAATAGAAAAAAAGAATGACGAGGCGGTGTTTAGAAAAAAAATAAATGAACCTGCATTAATCAAAAATAAATAATACCTTGTTCACTGACTTTGAATATAGTTTATTTTTGATATATTTGCAGAAGGAATATTTCACTGAACGAGTAGAAATAATCATCAAGCATGCAGTTCTTAATTTCATGAAACAGTGCCAGTGCCAATTATATCGTTAACTTCAGTTTCCATGGCATTCTACAAGTTTTGGTATGAATGCGTCATTTTTCCTCATCAGAAAAACAAGTTAAGAAAAGTAGGATAGAAATGCTAAAGACGCGTTTTCAAGCAGTAAAAATGAAAACTGATCGTTGCGAAGGTAGTATTTTAGTAAACGGAAACATCACGGCTTTACTACTTTTATGTCTAACAGCACCTTACTGTAGGCTTTTCAACATGGCTAGTTAAAGCAAAACCTTTTTCATAATATATACAGCGTTGAAGAGGTATCAGTTGGGTCACTAAAGATAGGACTAGGGGAACACAAATTTCGATTCCGTTTTACAGCTTTGTAGACAGTTTAAGCTTTTCCTTAACCGGTAAAACCCAAGTTTCATTTAACATTCAGCTTGTGCTTACCTACCCTTCCACCAATCAGCCCTTGTCGTTGTACTGATATGAAGCAAGGGAATTCTCTTGGTTTCAACCTCTTTCATCATGGAAAGAAATCGCCGATCAAATATTTAACTAGGTTGCGATAAAGCCAGTCTAGGGGCACATTCTTATATCCAAATGCCTGTACCACCATTCAATCATTTACCCATCTTATGTGGCATTAATCCAAACGTGGGCTCCAACAGCATACGCTGACTGACCTATCAGTTGCCACGTCAGTTCTGCGTATCTCGCACTGCAATAATTGGGGCTGTAATTTTTCTTAGCATCTCTCGCATATTTTTGATCGTCTCGTGAGGCAAGAGAGTTTCACGCTTGCTCAGGGGTTTGTTGATCAATGATTTGGGAGTATAGCTTTAATTTTCAGCAATGGTATTGATAACAGCTGGGTGGTACCCAACCCGTACGCGATATAAGTATGGCAACTTTACACTGAATATCCATCGCAGTATCAAGTTTATCTTCAGTAACGGCAAGAGCCAAATTTTATCAGCAATTAATGGTTAGGATACCGGAGATACATCATAGCCCTTAATGAATGAAAATCTCGCTGTAACGAAAAAAATTTTTCTCGTAAAAAAAAAAACAACAACAACAAATGATTAAGAACAGGAAATAATGAATTTTTCCTCAGGAGATCTTCTTTTTCTGACGTTCCCCTCATCAGGCGATTTTATGTCACAAGTTGAGGAGGCACTGAAGCAGGTTTTTCTTTGTTTAAGTCTCCCCTTTCCTTAATTTTCTCCAACGCAGTTTTTTTTTCAGTCGTGGGGCAGGCAAATTTACATGCTGTTAAATGCGACTTTGATGAATGGTAAATTAATTTTCTTATACAAGTCATCAATGATCGTGGGTCAGAAATAAAACAATGCATAACTACATGAAACACATCACAGCTAAACTCACCCCTGTTTATCCTATCACTGATCAGTTTTATCCAGCCACGTTCAAGGGATGAATCGATATGAGTGCTGACGATTCCCTTCTGTCCTATATTATATTGCTCTTTCATGTTATCTGTTTACCATAATGTTAAAAGCTTCCTGGGGTGCAACACTAAAAATTCATTATCTTAAATTGATGGGTTTTAACTGGCACTTCGAAAATAAATGTTTTGATAAAAATATATAACATTTTTGAGCAGTGGTAGTACAATAATTTTTCTTCACACATGAATTGTAGGGACAATCATTGCGGTAGAAAACTTTGGAAAAACTCAGGCTAAGAACAACCATGCTTCTAAGATGTTAGAGAGGTACTCTGCTGTTTAGAATGAAAGGCCATGTCAATCCTTTTTAGATATAATTACGTGAGCTGCCTCTTGCTTGTAAACAAATTATCTTTCGTTTACTTTTTCTCTGAAAAAGACTTTCTTTGAAAATAAGACCTAATAAAGCTTTTCATCTGTAGCTTCATATATCTATAAAGCAGTCGGTCCATTTTCAATTAAAAGTTTAAACAGTGTAAAATGTAAATTTGAACTGCAGAGGTACAGAGGTAATGAATATCTTAGTGTTCAAATAATTGCACTAAAAATGACCATGTTCTCCTTATTTCTTTAAGAAGGGTCTCTATGGATGATGGCCTTTACCAAGAGAAAATACAAGGACCATTTTCCCTGCTTTAACGGCTAGCGGTTAAAATTTTGGCAATTTCACGGCTAAAAGTAATTTCTTTCCCTTAACCAATTTAATTCAATCATTTTAAAAAGTTAACAATTCATTTTTAGTGTTCTTAAACGCACTTACACCGGTCGTTTACTTCGTACTTCTCAGGCCAATAAAATAAAAAAATAGATTATAATTAAATAAAACTTTAAGATTTTTCATGGACATGCATGGCGTACTACTTCAGTAACCCTCAGGGACTTGATTGAGCCAAACGTCTTTGTTTTCGTTTCTAGGATAGGATGTTTAACCGTAGTAACTGCAAAATCCGCATTTGTTGTCTCGATCACGAGTTTGCTTCAGCAAGCTTCATTTCCCTTTTGTGTTGAAACAAAGTCATCTTCCTTTTTCATACCAGAATTTTCATTTAGTTATGCGAAATTAATTTAAAATCAATCAGAAAACGCGAAAGAGTAGAATCTTTCTCCACAGATTCCCTTCAAAAACACTCAAGATAAATTTATTCATAACCCTTTGTTGGACGACGGAAGCCGAAAAGGGGCGATCCAAAAATATTTTACAAATCCCCAAAAATATTTAGAATCAACATCTTTCTTTTAAACAAATCGCTTTGGAAAAGTTTGTCAAATCGAGAAAGCAATTTCAAATCCTGGTTTAATTCATAGATCCACAAATAACTATCCCCAATGAAAATCATAGATAGTTTACGATCCAAGAATCTTTCCAAAATCCAGAAAATTGTTGCAAATCGAGAAAATATTTGTCACGTGACACTTGCGTCAGTAAAAAATTGCCGCCAATTTACTCTCGTCCCAACATGACGGATTTCTGCGCGGCGTGAGGTAGTGGGGTCAATCCTAGCTTCAGTTTTGTTCTAAATGGGGCTCAAAAATAAGACAAACATTACATGAAAGAAGAAGGAGAAAAGGCTTCGCCAAGCTGCACAATGGATCAAAAAAGAAAGGCAGCAATACATCAGCGAATTCGAAAAAGACTGTAGATAATAGAGTTGTGCTAAATGTAGGCATGATTAGTAAAAATGAAGAAGGCAAACGAGTTGTAAAGAGGGGAAGTAAGGTGGCTTTAAAAGTTAGGAAAGACGAGGGAGCCGCTGAAGTACGCAAGGCTGCTGTTAAGAAGCACTCCGATCACGATCAATTTTTCCATGCAGTGGATAATTATTTCTATAATACCCAGATCAGAAGGTGGTAGACAAAATATCAGGTTGTCAAGATAACTTTACAGTTGCTAGATACAAGCAAGAACTAGCAAAACCGTACTCTAAGGCTGATCTGTTCATTTGTAAAGAGGCAGACTTCAAGGCAGACAGTGAGATGAATTATGTCTCGGACTTCGCAGAGGAGAAGCCTTTAATCGACCTACCCTCCGACGATGACAACATATTTGATAGATCAGTGCTTGACATTGCACACCCTTCACATGCAGGTGGGACTTTCACGTTTCTCCCTCTGAAACCGGTTCATTGATCACCGCGCAGCAAGTTCCATCCAGTGCCGCTAATACTGCCACAAAACTAGATGAACGAATGGTCACCAAGAATACCTATTACTTTATGAAGCGAAGACTGCTATGGAGAATTCCAAACCTGTTTGCTGCTTTTGCGGTATTTACAGGGTTGCATTCGATTAAACCCTGTTTAAGCTGACTCGAGATGAACGTTCATGACGGACTATTAGTAATTAAGCAGGTATAGATATAAATTTCAGCTTCTCTTAATTAATTCATATGTCGAAGATTGCATAGCTTCATCAATATGGAAAGTGATCTGTATTCAGGAGTGAGACAAAAACCTTTGATTTCGAAGAATGTCTTGGATACAATTTACAATTTGGTTAGAATTTGTTTGGCTAAAGACAAAGTGCTCCTATTTTTTCCTTAGTTATCTTTCACTAAGGAGTGTTCTTCAAATATTTACGAACGGCTATTTATAAATAACCAATTTTCATTAGTCCGTTTTGACACAACTTGGTTTGTTTGTGATTGACGAAATAATTTGCTGTTGTTCCTGTAATCATGTCCTATTTTTTTCGGTCACTAAACTGTGTTATGGTTCTCATTGGCAATTCACTCTGATTGCCTTTATCTGTCTAAAATAAGCTTAACGTTTGGTACATGACTTTCAGATTTTGTAAGCATTTTCCAAAATCATTTC